AGGCACGATAAAACTTGAAAATTGCTGTAAATAGCTTTTGGAGGTCCCTGCTGGTCGCTTCTGTTTGCCCAGAATTTTGACTGAAGATTCAGAGTCCTGGATACCTACATGCCAAGAACAGAAGGGGGAGCCCTAATTCCCCAGCTGCCAGATCTTTCAACTGGTTGGAGTTGATTCTGGTTCACAGGGCTGGTAGGGTGAAATAGAGTCTTAGGAGCAGAAGAAATAGAGGAAAGAGATCAAAAAAGACCTGCTATCCCTTCTCAGTGGGGTTGAGAGCAGCAGGACAATCTGCAAAGCCCTGGGGGGTCTCAGACAACAGGTTGAGGCCAGAGTCAGAGCAGGAAGAAAACAAGGGGAAACCAGGGAAAAAGAATTGAGATCTTGTGCTTCTACTTCTGTGTACTGTTCTGAGTCTCCATGGTTATTTGTCATCTCCATAAAAAGTTCCCCTACATTTCTGCCTTCTTTTTTTCTGAAAAATAACAATAGTAATAAAGATAATATCTTACATCCACATGATGCTACATAACATTTGGTACATAATAGATATAACAGTATTTTATAGAAGGCAATTTTATACCTGTTTTGTAAATGAGAAATATTCCATACCCTTTCTCACATTGTCTTTATTGGGTTATCATTAAATGTAGTTCTTGTTTTTCATTCATTTTGGAAAAGTTTGAAGGGTTTTGTGTATGTGTGTGTGCAAGATAATCTGCTGAGTTATTGCCACAGTGAATCAGATAAGGAATATGAGGAAAAATAATACCATTAAGTAGATCAACCCGCTTATTTTAGAGATGACAAAACCAAGCTTCAAGAGTTTTTAACTCGTGTTAATACTAAAAAAAAAAAAAAAAAAAGAGTTTAAGTGATGTAATTAGGATCTTGTAGCAAATGAGTCAAACCAATTATCTCTTGCTCTTTACCTTACACAGTATACTCTACTGATACACATGGGATATATTTTAGAAAATCGATAAGCTAAATATTAGTCATATATTCAAGACAGATCTCATTTAAAGGATCCTCAAAAAAGATAACTACTCTTTAATTTCCACAGAAGGAAAATTCAGAAGTTCCTCTAACTCATGAGATTAAATATGCAAAAGTGCTTTGAAAACTGCAAAGCATCATAGAAAAATGAAGGATTGTTTCTAACAATGTCTGGGGCCCATATGTCTTTATCCCTGGGAAGGTCTTCACAAAATCCAAATTCAGTGCCTGCTTTTGCAATGTGAGACAGTCCCTGTTTTGTTCAATTTTGGAATCTTTTCATCATCAGGTTCCCAAGAAGCTATCTCTGAAAGCTACTTTGTTTAGCCTGACATGCACAATTCTGTGTTTATGTTTCATTGTGTTACACCTTTATTCTTGATCTCCATGCTTTGGCATGGTGGTGATTCAACAAATGGCTTCCCAGATCCTATCTGGACCATCCACTCTGTTGCTTTGCTTTGAAAATGAGTATAAACTTGAAGAAAGTGGGATAAGGGAGGCATAAAATGTGCTATCTGAGCCCTTGACAAACTCTGTATATTGTTTAAATTCTTATTCTTTACAATTTGTCTCACATCTATTTTGATTTATTTCATAAACATTGCATAAACTAAAATGGCCCATGGGCTTTGTACCCCAACCATGCAGTGGACTATATATATTTTCTTCTTCTAAATGGAATTGTTGGAATGAAAGCCTGATGGGAAATAATCCAAAACTTTATTTGATTCTTCAAGTTGTTAAATCTCCTGACTTCTCTGACACCAATCTGATATTTTATTCACTTTGACTATGGATCTGTACCAGCAGACTCCACAGAAAGAAATAGACAGGCTGTTCTGGTGCCAGGTTGAACTGCAGATTGAGACAATGAACAAAGATGTGCTTTAGATTCTTCAGTTACTGAAATTGAATAACCCTTATTTTCTTGAAAGCAAATAAAAGCAGAGCAGATTCCTAGAGTTTATATAACATTGAAATAAATACTTGAAAATTGTATTCCCATTTTCCTTCACTTTAGGTATATTTTTATTTCTCAGATGCCATTAAAATCTATGGACACGACCAGTGAAATTTTTTTTAATGAAAGGATAAAATGTTTATGTTCTTGAAAAGTCACACTTTATCAGAAGAAGATGCTCTGCTCAGGAACGATTTTTAATTCATTCAGTCAAGTCAGTTTTCTCCAGCTTTTTGTTTTTGTCTCTGGAAGGGTCAGCCTGGTGAGAGGAGAAGGCAGTGAAAAGTGGCCTTCAACTGGCTTGGCCCCAGGCCTGGTTGCTGACAGCAAAAAGGGTTTGAATGGTAGGCTTGAAAAGAGGTGGTGGGAAAAGCCTTTCAGGAGTGAATGTGATTCCCAGAACAGGATCAGAAAATGAGTCAGTAACCAGGAATCTCATACGGCATAAATGATGAAAGTGGAGTTCAGTAAAATGGGCAGACCTGGAAATTGAGTTCCAAAACTGAAGAGCCAAAAAACAGACAGGAAGGAATTTCATGCCTAGTCCCAGTCCAGGCTAAGCAAAGCCTAAGTGTGCTTGTTCACGTTTTTACCAAGGTGAAGTCAGACCAGGCTGTTCACTTATGGCTGTTCTTCATAAAGCTACATGTACTCTGTAGCCAATATTCTCCACCTCCACATCCTAAGGAAGCTATTATAACTGTTGATTAAAACACACAGAGTGCTGAATATTAGTCCTCAATTGCACCCTCAGCCAGTGAACAACTTACACAAGTGTTCATGATGGCAAGAAGAAACTTCCATCATTGTTGGCAAAAAGCTACTCCTACAGTGTGCATGCAAATTTAATTTTGAGCATATTGCTTTACTGATGCAGATTTTTTTTTCTTAAAATCACAAGAGATTGTCATAAGAAAATAAACTAAGGAAAGTTGAAATGAAGTGCATTTTTCTGCTCAATGAGTCACAGTTACAGGCAGTGCCTTTGGAATTACCACACTTCTAGCCTTCCAGTCTAGACACAGTGTGAGAGAGTGGAAAAACCTACCGCTAGGAATCAGCTTCAGAAGACAAGCCAGCTCAGAAGATCTCTGAGCTGTAGGGTGAGCAACTTGAGCAGCCACTTTGTGACCAGTGACATTCCTTTCTCCAAAGACCCAGGGGGAGTACCGACACCCAGGAGCTGCCTGTCAAGAGAGAGCAAGAGGAAACTACCATGTTTCCCAGAAAATAAGACCTACCCATAAAATAAGCCCTAGTAGGATTTCTAACCATTTGTGCAAAATAAGCCCTACCCAGAAAATAAGACCTAGTGATGGGCGTGGCTACGCAGCATATCTACACAACCCTTGCATTTCGTCGCAGAGCGGTAAAGAAGATGAGCAGCCTTTCTCATCTGCCCCCTGAGAGCTCTATTGTTCAGCATGAAAGATTGGGGCCAATGGTTCTAAAGGAAATAGAGTTGCAAGACATTCAGGATGGAATTCGGGGTTTGGAGAGTTATGATGATGTTCCAGAGGAAGACGACTTAACTATATTTGAATACATGTAGATTGTTGTACTGTACTTAAAAAAAATAACACATCCCTGAAAATAAGCCCTAGGGTGTTTTCTTGAGGGAAAATAAACATAAGACCTTGTCTTATTTTCAGGGAAACACGGAACTCTAGAATAGAAGAGATGCTTTTGAGGGAACAAAGTTGGGGGAAGCATTTTTACACTATAATCCAGGACTCCTTCATTATCCTGGCTTTTATTTCCTTCTCCCGACTCCATTCATTCATTCATTTAACAGAGTTTATTGATCTAGGTGCTGGGACAGCAGTGCATAAAACCAGACACCACCCCTTCTCTCATACGGCTTCCAGCTGGAAGCCAACACCCAGTTACACAATGTAAATGTGACATGGCACCCTTGATCATGCTTCAAAGGAGAGTTATCTGATGCTATGCAACCTTGAAAGAGGGGGCATTTGACCTAGTTAGGAAGCTCAGGCAAAGCTTTCAGGACAGAGCTGGAATTTGAAGGAAAAGCAGATGTAAAGAAGTGAGAGAAATTCCATGTAAAGGGACAGAAAGGGAAAAATACTTCCCCTTCAACATTGCAGATCTTACATTTCATTTCTAGTTTCTTGAATTCTCCCATGCAGTCCTTCACCTAGCAGGCTTATGCCATTTAGCCTCATCCACTCTATCTTGGTGGATAGAGATAGATAACCCTTGCTCATCCTTTTGTCTCAGCTTAGATGTCACTGCCTTTGGATAATCTCCCCCGCATCCCATCTGGAGCCTGGTGTAAATGCTGCCCAGTGGGCTGCAGTTGCCCTCAGTGCTTTAAGCTAACATAACTCACCATCTTCCCTCTTAGGGTAGGAGTTCCTTGGACACAGGAACTGAACCTTGTTCACTGACATGCCCAGTGCCCACCACAGTGCATTGAGTTAATAAGCAATAAATATTTGTAAGAGGAAGAAAGAAAGGGTTATATATGCCAATTAATGGGAGTAGTAATAATGATAGCTAATATTTATACACTGCTTACTATATGCTAGGTACTGCTCTAAGCACTTGAATATATTAATACTTCTCTCAACAAAGCTATGAGGTGGAATTAATAGTTTCCCCATTTTATGGAACTGGTTTAAGTCCCAGTTCCTCATCTGTAAAATGGAGATCATAATGAAACTTCATAAAATGAGAATTACAGTACCTAAGCAAAGTGCCTGCATAGTAAGAGCTGATCAAAAACTTTCTGTTGTGGGCTGGGCTCGGTGGCTCACGCCTGTAATCCTAGCACTCTGGTAGGCCGAGGCGGGCAGATTGCTTGAGGTCAGGAGTTCGAAACCAGCCTGAGCAAGAGTGAGACCCTGTCTCTACTATAAATAGAAAGAAATTAATTGGCCAACTAATATATATAGAAAAAATTAGCCGGGCATGGTGGCACATGCCTATAGTTCCAGCCACTCAGGAGGCTAAGGCAGTAGGATTGCTTGAGCCCAGGAGTTTGAGGTTGCTGTGAACTAGGCTGACGCCATGGCACTCACTCTAGCCTGGGCAACAAAGTGAGACTCTGTCTCAAAAAAACAAAACAAAAAACCAAAAAACTTTCTGTTGTTATGATTGTTTTCCAAGGTAAAGACAAGGGGTGAAACACATGGTTCAGAAGACTCTAGTCCTTTGGGCCTTTGGGGAGGAAGAATTACATTGTACTGCCCCTGCAAATGGCCAATAGAGCAGAAAAAGGGCTGTGTTGGTGAAATCCCTGTTGAGATCAGGGACAGATTCTTCCCTGCCTGCAAAGGACACTCCACTACCCAGCAACCTTGGAGATGGGACCACAGCACTAAAGAGTGTGCAGGGAGCTTAAAGTCTCAAGATTTGTTTGCTGTGGACCTCTAACCTAGTGAATAAAACTTTTTCCTGAGTTTTATAATAGGTGTCACTGAGTGTGGAGTTCTTATAGGAGAGAAAGAGGTTCCTAGCATAATTTGGTAACTGAAAGAGAACATGATATAGTGAAAAACCATGGAATTTGGAGTTAGTTGGTCTCATATTGGCATGATGATTATATTCCCAACCTTGTACAGATTACTTAGATGTCTGAGCCTTAGTTTTGTTACTCATAAAATAGATACGAATAAACCTATCACTCAATAAACATTAGTTTCTTCCCCCACTGGCTAATTTTCATAATTAATTTGTAAACCTAAAAGCATTTTATAATTATCAGATATTATTAATCATTCATAAAATATTTGTGAAGGCTGCTATATACTAGACACTGTGATAGGTACTGGAGAAATGGAAGATTGGCTGAGGCAGGGTCTTATCCTCAAGAAAGCTACTGAAAGAGAAATTCATTCTTTTCCCTGGTCCAGAAAGAAAAAGCAGTAAGGCCAGAGGGAAAGGTCCTGTAGCCTGCACAGGCAGCCAAGTTCCTGGCACTTGGCCCTCCCTGGGGGATATCTGATACTTGACCCCCAGCCATCAGCTGAGAGCTTGCCCGGATTACCTGACCCAAAGACTCGAGGGACAGGGCTGCAAGAGGGATCTACAAATCTTCCAAATAAGCAGGCAAGAGAATCTTACAACAAACACAAAATGACTTGCGGGTAGTAGGAAGTAGTTGCGCCAACTGATGGAGGAGGTTGTCAAACACAAGGAGAGGAAAATCACCATAGATTTCTGTGTTTCTATAGCAAGTGGATAGAACAATCCAGACACACTGATTTCTACCCAGCTAGCCAGACCTCTCATTTTTTGGCTCCTTTTGTCTTATTTTTCTCTTCCTTCTAAGAAGATAGAAAATGAGTAAGGTGTGGAAGGTTTCTTACCCAACCATGATTCAGGAGGAAGCTCAGCCACAGAACAGGCAAGTGTGGCATTGCCTAGAGAAAAAGGACTTGTAGAGACAGGTCCCAGATAGATCCACCCCAGATTTCTGAAAGAAGGCACCTCCTTCATTGTATGTTCTAAGACCTTCCAAGTTCAGAAAGAAACCATCTGCATCAGCATCGACAGCCTGGTATAATGCACCCAGCAGGCCCAGTGTGAGTAAACCAGAGGCTCCTCTACAACATGACCCACAGGGACAATGCAGGTCTTGTTTGCAGCCTGAAGTTTGTGACTCTCCTGATTGCTCTAAGTCCGGAACTCCTACTCCTGGGAGCTGGAGTGCAGCTTCAAAACAATGGGTATGATGGATTACTTGTTGCGATTAATCCTCAGGTACCAGAGAATCAGAACCTCATCTCAAACATTAAGGTAAGTGGCAAATATGAAAGTAATACCATTATCTCATTAGATCAGACCTCTAGCTTTCTTTAAAAAGCTAATAACTCTGCCTGGTTTGTATTTGAGCCATAGAGAGAGCAGCATTTCTTAAAGATAGCATCAAAATTTATGATAATGGCTAACTCCATTTATTTATCTAATTCTGTATAATCTCAGCTTACAGAATGCTGGTCAAGCTCTCTCTTTTGTTGTTGTTTGTTACTACTAATTTTAGCTTTTTGTTTTCCTACATGATCGTTTTGGGGTAGCAACTTAGGAAAATAAGAACCCATTGTGGCAACAAAGACTGGATATTTGACTGTGAATAAGCATGATAGGGCTTGTTAAAATCATGTTATTGGATTCCATCCAGGACTTTCAGACAGAAAGGGTGAGAGTCTATGTGGAGTGCTAAAAAGTAAAATTATTTCTTCTCAGTTGAATATGCTGTAAAGTAATCGACTATTTTCACTTTAATATGACAAATAAAAATCTTAGCTCTATTACTTAAGAGCCTCCTTTTGGTAATGCTGTAGTGAAATGAGTATTGTCATAAGGTGTGGCCTTGAACATGCCCACAGGCACACTAGGGAAAGGATTTGTTCAGTAAAAGCTTAAAAGCCTTTCACAACATTGGGAAAATTATGAAGGCAAGTACAGACACATCATTAATGTTCTAAAATCTCTTCCATATGATCATTTGAAGTTTTTTTTTTTAAAAAACTTTGCTCCTAAGTTTTCCCAAAGTCTGTCTAATATTTTCTCTAAAAAGAAATGGGCTCCTTCAAAATATTTTAAATATTTTTTTATTACTACATAAGTATAACCAGAAAACCAAAACATACAGGATTTACAAGTGATAAAATAAGTTTTTCTTTTGTTTGGCTATAGGAAATGATAACTGACGCTTCATACTATCTATTCAATGCTACCAAGAGAAGAGTGTTTTTCAGAAATATAAAGATTTTAATACCTGCCACATGGAAAGCTAATAATTACAGCAAAGTAAAACAAGAATCATATGAAAAGGTAAGGATTCAGAATTTCACTAAATGATCTTAAGGGGAAAAAGAAAACATCAAAATATACTATGTTTAAACTGTAAAAGTGAGAACTTAAGCAAAATCAAACCATTAATTTTAATATACAAACAATATTACTGGGCAGAATTTTAATCACAAAATATATGTAAATAAAATTAATGAGTGCAAATTATGGAGTAAAAAATAAGTAAAATGCTATTTCCCAAGTAGTGTCTCAGCAGATCTCTTTATTTTATAATTTACAGAGTCCTTTCTGAAATTTTTGGTTGAGGACCAAGAACTAGTTTTATCCTATTGAGAATAAGCTGTGACAGGAACAATTCCAATTATGATGATCTCCATTTAGCATCCTGTTGGGCAGTTAACATGCATGTCCAGACAAAAACAAGCCACCCACATGTGTAAAAATATGACCATCTTCTCATGCCATTTTAAAAATTAGCAGAATTTCACATTAGCCCAAGTCCAGGCTGCTATTTTTCAGGAATAAGGAGAAAATAGGAAGGCAGAAAAGGTGTGGGTGGATAGGGGAGTGGCTACCTTTTCTTTTCCAAGCAAAGATGAACTTAACTTTAAAAGACTTTCATAAGCTGCAAATCATGGTTAAGCACCCATGATGGTGTCTGGTACTTACTGCTATGCACACTGTAAATGAATGTTAAATAGTTTGGCAGATTACTGTTTGAAGTCACTGTGAAAGCCTATCATAGCTACCAGAAGGGCCAGGAGTAGAGGCCTTGAGAACTCAGCTCAGGGCTTCAGTATGGCATAGGTTTGAGAGGGTCACTATAGCTCTAACAGAATGACTCAAATGTGTGGTACAGCTTCCCCTTTTCCTCATCTCTGTCATTCAGTATGAAAGTCCCTAAGTTTTTAAAGTCCCTATCTTTCCTTTCAAGTTACTCTCTCAGAAACTGAGTGGCAGAGCAATCTAGATATGTACTTTAATGTCCTGAAGAAGTTGAAGAGGCTTCTAAAATCATTTGACTTATGACAATATGAAAGCATCTTACAATGCTTGGGCATGGAGCTAGGTGGGTAGGGGAACCAGAGCAAACTGGGAAGAAAGCCAATGTTTAAGCTTCAACTAAGTACAAGGCATTTTACATATATTATTAATTCTTGCATAGCCTAAAATTAGTTGCTGTTATCACAAATTAGGAAACTGAAGCTCAAATAAGGTATGGACTTTGTTCCAAGTCAAGCAGCTAGTAAATTACACAGGCACAATTTGAATATCTATTTGACTCCAAAACCCATGCTCTTTCACTAAGCTATGTTGTCTCTAGCTATCTATAGTGATTGCATTCATCAATTTGGCCTTCAGTGGGACTAAGAAGTATTGGAAACAACGAACACCAAAACCACATTGCCAAAGGTGGTATTCCTGACCCTAGTGGAGAAGATAGAAATAAATAAGTAAAGCAAAAGTGAGAATATGACTGAATAGAAGGATCAAAGGAAATAATAGGCATTGAATACTGTTCATTTATCTGTTGCATACTAATTCCTTTAACTCCATAATGTCAAGTAGGCAAACACTTAATGAGTGATCATTATGTAGAGAGGCCATGCTAGGCACTTCAGAGGACACAAGGACAAGCAAGGTAGTTCTTGTCCTTGTGAATCTGTAACATATTGTAGGTAGGGAAAAGGGAAGGATTAGGAAAAGTAGATAAGAGCTGAATTACTATAGTCTTTAAGGTATAATGTAACCCCAAATAGCCTCTGATTATTTCATCCCACACAGAATACTCTTTCCTTATTGCTACAGTACAAATTTCAAGACACAGGAGTGAGATTTTGTCCAGGTGACGACTATCCAAAGGCTTGACCTCTTTAGCCTTTTTTATAGGTGTTGCCTTGCAACGCCCTTGGCTCAAATTCTTATCTTTCTGAAAATAAATGTTAATTATTATGGAAGTCATTCAGACTCATTGCAGAAAGTTAAACAATGTATAAATATGGAAAATAAAAATGAAAGTATTATCATCCTCTTCTTAGTGGCATACCCACCCACAACATGTACATGTATAGTACACATAGTGATAATTATATATATTGGTTCATATTAGATCTATTGTTCCCAAATAGGCTTTTGTTTTTCTTTTTCACTTAACAACATAACTTTTTTTTTTTTTTTGAGACAGAGTCTTACTCTGTTGCCCAGGTCAGAGTGCCATGGCATCAGCCTAGCTCACAGCAACCTCAAACTCCTGGGCTCAAGGAATCTTCTGCCTCAGCCTCCCAAGTAGCTGGGACTACAGGCATGCACCACCATGCCCAGCTAATTTTTTTCTATATATTTTTAGTTGGCCAATTAATTTCTTTTTATTTTTAGTAGAGATGGGGTCTTGCTCTTGCTCAGACTCCTTTCGAACTCCTGACCTTGAGCGATCTCCTGCCCCAGCCTCCCAGAGTACTAGGATTACAGACATGAGCCACCAGGCCAGGCCAACAACATAACTTTTAAGGTCAGGGCCAGGACAACATGTTATCTTTCTTCTTAAAAATAACAGAAACAATGTTGTATATAAAATCATATGGTCTTGATGGTTACTTGAATAAATACTTACATTAGTTTTGGATTTAAAACATTGCATTTTAGCAATAGTAACTGAAAAGAATATGGCATAAGATGAAATATAACTACATTAGAATGATTGTTTGCTGATATAATTGGTTATGGGAATGAAAGGATAAATATTTAAAGAAATATATCCAATTGTCTTTCACTGATGAAATAACCCACAGAAAATTGTTTACAAAAGGCTGTAACATCTTACATTATGGTTCTGAATGTGTAAATGCTCTTATTTTCTTCAATTTCTTTCTTTATATGCTCTAAATTTCTTCAAATATTTTACTTATATTTTATAGAGTTTTATAGTATCAGACTTTTACAGTGTTGACTTTTGAGAATATTTTAATCTGGAAAATGAAAGGTCTAATGGAAGTAAAGAAGCCCTATTGAAAATTTGAAGTTAGAAATTTGCTAAGCTTTTAAAATACAGATATTGTAGAAAGTGCCAACTAATTTTGTTGATATTTGGCTGCGGATACATTTTAAACTCCATCTACAAGGCATTTTTTTAATTCTGTTTTTTAATTGGGATATAATTACATACAGTAAAATGTACAGATCTTAAATGTACAGTTCAAAATGCTTTAACAAATATATACATTTATATCACCATCATCACAGTTGAGATAGAGAGTATTACAAGGCATTTCCTTTAATTTAGGCAAATGTCATAGTGACTGACTGGTATGGGGCACATGGAGACGACCCATATACCCTACAATACAAAGGGTGTGGAAAAGAGGGAAAATACATTCATTTCACATCTAATTTTCTACTGAGTGATAACTTAACAGCTGGCTACGGATCACGAGGTAAGTGGGACCAATAAAACAATAACCACTGGACAGTACTATTCATAATACTCCGTCTTTGGTGCTAAAAGGGACTCAGAAAACCTGAAAGCTGTCAAGAACTTGAATAGGATAGGCCACTTGTCCATGCAAAGATGTGGGACAAAGTGAGCCATAAAGAGTTAAAGCACAAGATTAGTGGTCCACACAAGAGTGCTAGAAGACTCCAATGAAAGATCATTTTGAGCCAATGGTGGTCAGAAAGGAGCTCACAGAGAAGATCTTCAAGGCTGAACATTGTTTTGGTAAATGGAAAGAAAGGAGAGATTAGTGGGAAGAGTGTGAATAAAACTGTGGCAGCAGAAGAATCCAAGGCATCTTTGAGAGATGGAGAGCAATAGACCTCACTGATGGTGCAGAGAGAATGTGGGCAAAGGAAGAAAATGCTCAAATGCACATGGGGGTTAGGTGATGGACAGCCTAAAATGCCCAGATTATCAAGTCACCACTGAAAGTTGATTAGCACAGGAGTGACACTACTGAAGCAGTGATTTAAGAAGATCAAGCTGGATGTATGGATAACCTAGCTCCCTCAGATCAATGAGGGAGAAACTGGATATTAGGAGAATAAGGGGGAGACATCCAGGTATGAGACCACAAGACTTGAAAAAGATTGGGCACAGTGAGATGGGAAAGAGAGTAATAAGGACAATGAGGACTTCCTATGTGCCAGATGCTCTTCCTATGTGCCAGATCACTCTGCTACAGAGTGAAAGACAAGAGATGCGTGTAGATGGCATTAAGGAACAAAGAACACACCTAGTTTTTGTCAGAAATAGAAGGCAGCAGTGTAAAGGAATAATCCAGGAGTTTGATTCAGGCCAGTTGATGGTGAGGCACAGTGGACTCTCTTGGGAAATAGGTTCAGCCTGTGGGTGGATATCGGCAGCAGCTGGAGTTTGGGAGAGAAGTCAGGGTCGTAGGCCTGGACACTGGTATTTAGTGGATATGATCTGAAGGAGAAACTAGTGAGAACAGATCAGGTGATCAGGGGCTAACTAGACCAATCTTAAATTTTTATTTTTGAGTTAACTAACTTACAGTAGTGCATTTCAAATTATATTTTAATTTTTTTTACCCTACTTAAACCTAAACAGGTTTTGTTATCCCCTGTCTAGTTAGTAGGAAATGGAACAACACACTCTATAAAATATACTTTACAAAATACTTTATGAAAACATTGTTTTTTTGTTATTGTTGTTCATGGTAACCATGAAATGCTGATAATCTCTGCACAAATGTATGATTTCATCAGCACTTCTAAATTTCATGAGTAGGCACAAGTTTTCAACACTTTCAGCTTGGACTGTTACCCTTCCTTCCTTCATCTCAAGGTCCAAAAATTGCACAATGTGCCATAGTCTCAGTCAACTCAGCAAATACTTTCTGGCTTCCCAGATCTTAAAATAATTCAGAAAAGAAAAATGTGTGCTTTAAGAGGGGAGTTCATCTGGAAAACTTCTATGGGGGAGAAGAAAGTTTTGATCTGAACTTTGAAGGAAATATAAGACATATTACAATATTAGAAATATAGAGATAAAAGTTATAAAGGATTTGCTGCTAAGGATGAGGGTTTCCATGAACTAAGAGTTGGAAATAAACATAAACATGGAGAATAAAGGATAAAATAAAAGAGAAAGAACCATCTAAGCTGGAGAGAAGATTCTATGATTTCCTTTTTTTTTTGCTCCTTCCTCCCTCTCAGGCCCCTAGGTTTCAATCATTGCTCTAGATAGAAATAGAATACCTGCAAAAAAAAAAAAAAAAAAAAGAAAAGAAAAAGAGAGCATTCTTGGATAGCACAGACTGAAGATTAGGAAAGCTTTATTTGCTTGCCTGGATGTGCTTCTTTCCCTTTTCCCAAACGCTGAACTTATAGGCCTCTATGAAGCTAAATAGAAACCTGTTAGGCAGCTTCACTGGGGAAATGAGAGGATGTGGGACTACTCACTGCCTTCAAATATGTGCAACAGGTAAATCACTGGTTTGCATTTATGGGGCCAAACATATTTTCATACTGCCTTTTTTATTATGGTTGGGGGTGAAGTAGGAGGGGATTGGAATGGGATGGGGGAGAGGAAAGTTGGAGAGGGAATTGGATTTCAACTCTTTGGAATGAGCACGTATAGTCGAGTAATGTCACATCTGCACTGATCAGTGAGGACTATTGCTGACATGTTAGAAGCTCAAAAGCAAAAGCTCTCTCTTCCACAGGTAGAGTGTTTGTCCATGAATGGGCCCATCTCCATTGGGGTGTGTTTGATGAATATAACAATGACAAACCTTTCTACATAAATGGTCAAAATCAAATTAAAGTAACAAGGTCAGTACTTTTTCTCATGTTTAAAATTCATTATTTATTTGACTCTAAAATTGTTTATAATTTAAGCAATTAAATTATTGCATAGTTAATTAAGCAATTTCTTAATGTAATTGCAGCTAAAACTTGACAAAAAAGAGATCCTTTCATTTTTCATTTCTTAAATTTTATTGTATTTTCAAAAAAATTAGAAAATATTTATATGATTCAAATATCAAAACAATATAAAAAGTCATAATTTTGGGTGTCTTGTTCCCACCACTGTCTTTATTCTATTCCCTCCCCTCTCATCTCATCTAGGTAACCATTTTGATTGTTTCTTGTTTATTTTTTCAGTATTTCTTCAGGCAAATTCAAATAAATATGAATGTATATTTTGTACTCTTTTTGTTAATAATTGCATAGTTTTCCATTGTGTGGATGTACCATAATTTATTCAAGCAGTCCCCTCTTATTGGTCACATGAGTTGTTCCCTATCTTTTGTTGTCACATGAGTTATTCCTTATCTTTTGTAATTACCAATAATACAGTAGGTCATGATGCTGCGTGTATGTCATTTTTCATGTGTAGGCAGATCTACACATCTGTTGAATTCTTCCAAGAATTACCAGGTCAAAGGGTACCCTCAACTGTAACTTAGGTAGATATTGATCAATTCCTGAGAGTGGCTCTGCTTTTCACTCCCACTGACAACATTTGACATTGCTGATTTGGGAAGAAATCCTTTTTTGTTTGTTTGTTTTTCTGAGACGTGGTCTTGCTTTGTTGTCCCAGCTAGAGTGCAGTGGCATCATCATAGCTCGGTGCAACCTCACACTCCTGGGCTCAAGCAATCCTTCCACCTCAGCTTCTTGAGTAGCTGAGACTACCGGCTTACACCACCATGCTTGGCTAATTTTTCTATTTCTTGTAGAGGCAGGGTCTCCCTGTGTTGCTCAGGCTGGTCTCCAACTCTTGGCCTCAAGCAGTACTCCACCTTTGGCCTCTCAAAGAGCTAGGATTACAGGTGCAATCCACCATACCTGGCTAGAAGGAATCCTTTAAATATCATCATCACATGTTCATTGTCTTCATTCCCTGATGTTCAGTGGAAATGAGCTCAAAGGAGAACTGACTCCAGATATTGCCACTCACGTCTTTCGTTGGGCATCCCAAAGTCCATCTGGATTTCCTGGTATCTTTTGCTTTGACCCTGTTTAGTTGTTAAAGCCCTTGGCAATACAGAACCCCTTCATCAAGACCCAATCCTTTAAAATAAATTGGAGTGCATCTATAAATCAATGAACTTTCTTAATAGAGCAGTTTTTGAAATATTTTGTGGGTATCTAGCAAGCTATAATCCTTGACACAAATGATTATATAAGCTAGTCAAGAATAAACACAAGTATTTCTAAAATAAACTCAATTCTCAGTTTCTCTTTCCATTTTTAGGTGTTCATCTGACATCACTGGCATTTTCGTGTGTGAAAAAGGTCCTTGTCCTCAAGAAAACTGTATTATTAGTAAGCTTTTCAAAGAAGGATGTATGTTTCTCTATAATAACACACAAAATGCAACTGCATCAATAATGTTCATGCAAAGTTTATCTTCTGTAAGTATGGCCTTGAGATGACAAACTCCTGCAAGATTCCTTCTCTTCATGCGATAGATGATATAAGTATTTGAATTATAAAACAATTAAGATTCACTGTACTTTATAGTTTTCATCTAGTTTTTATTCTACAGATTGAAAAAACTAAGGCTCCCAAGATGATCACCAAAAATAGATTCCTTTAGGAAAGTGACAATTTGCTTTCTAAAGAAGGTGATTTAACTAGGGGACTCTGGAGACCACAAAATATATTGCTCATATGGTGGTGTTCCTGTATTCTTTCATCAGAAAATGTATGGGGTTAATGAGTGATATAACAAATGATTGTATTTCTCTCACTTAAGGTAGAAAACCACTCTTTATTTTAATTGCATACCCTAATTTTCTTTCCCTTGTGTGACATAGTCTAGAACTTAAGAGAAATAAGATAGCACCAGGGAAGTCAACTAACCCTCAGCTTTACATGTTTAGAAACCTGACCTTGTCAGTATTCCATGCTAGCTGACAAGAGACAAATCCAAAACACAGTTTTTAAATGATCATAATAAAAGAGTATTCTAACTGTCGTGGGCATCTCATACTTGCAGCTTCTGGCCAGTTCATCTTCTCTCTGAACAAAGCAACATGAAACAGCCAAGGTCTCACCAGAAGCCTGCTCTAAGACTATGGAATCAGAAAGGAAGGAGTTAGGTGATTCAGAGGCTTAGTGGAATCAATATTTGTGACCCGATCTGTCTATCCAAGTTCACAAAAACCTGAAAGTCACGTGTGTGGGTCATCTTTCCACAGGGCTGGGAGCACTGCAGGCTCATGCCTCTGTGGAACTTTCTTTTCATTTCCACGATTGACCAAGGCCCCTTGGTTTGACACAGTCTTTTTTTTTTTTTTAGATAACCTTTTTTTTTTCAGTCTGGCTTTAGTCTAATTTTAGTCAAGGCTAGGGGTCATTGTGTACCCTTAAGGTAATTTTTCATATTTCTTGTCCTAGCTGTCATGTTTTTATTTATTTATTTTTTTTATTTTATTTTTTTTTTTTGAGACAGAGTCTCACTTTGTTGTCCAGGCTAGAGTGAGTGCCGTGGCATCAGCCTAGCTCACAGCAACCTCAAACTCCTGGGCTCAAGCGATCCTCCTGCCTCAGCCTCCCGAGTAGCTGGGACTACAGGCATGCGCCACCATGCCCGGCTAATTTTTTATATATATATCAGTTGGCCAATTAATTTCTTTCTATTTTTATGGTAGAGACGGGGTCTCGCTCAGGCTGGTTTTGAACTCCTGACCTTGAGCAATCCGCCCGCCTCGGCCTCCCAGAGTGCTAGGATTACAGGCGTGAGCCACCGCGCCCGGCCCATGTTTTTAATTTATAGCTTTAATATCTGAAGCCAACCTGATCCCACGTATTTGATCCACATTGTTTGTGACTAGGTACTATCTTCATGATCTTTTGAAAGACCTATTTATAAATATTCAGTCAGAGATGTGTCACAATCCCCTAACCATAATTATGAAATGTAAGAAAAAGAGTTAAACAAAACAAGACAAAGTTAAGTTCTGATCCTGTCTCCCCACACTACTAAGAAACTCATGTCTTTAAGTAGTTCTTATCCTTTCAAAGCTTCATCTTTCTCTTCTATGAATTTAGAGATGAGATTAGAGAGTCTATAAGGCTTCTTCTAGCTCTAAGCTCCCATGGCTCTGTTAGCAGGAAGTATCAACTCTTTGTGCTAATAGGAATAGATGGTGAGGCATTATTTTGCAACACAAATCATATTCTTAAGTGGGGTGCTGACATAGGGTCAGTATCATTAAGTTAATATTAAGTTAATATAAGTTAATATAATCATTAAGTTAATATAATCTATATTTCCAAATTGTGGGAGGGAGTTCAGGAAGTAAGTAGAGTTCAGAAGTTGTTTTCTTTCTTATCTTATTCTTACAGAGATCAATATTTGAGCTAGATTAATATATGTTGACTGATCAACAAATATAGGTGCAGTTGTCATTAAAGCTGATTCCAAGGAATAAGCTGATAAGATAATATCTCTTGGGGTGTTTTCTTAACACCATATCATGTTAAGGAAGGAGGAAAATTGTTTTGTTTTCTCAAGACTGAGGTACGTATAGATATATATGCACATGCACAGTCTGCTCTCTGTTATCTAAGTGCAAGTAAACTTTAATAGCAATAGCTCTCAGTACAACAAAGGTGCAATGTTTCAAGCAAGGATGCCAAGGTTTATTTGTAAATTTTGATGTCATTCTTGAAGGAAAGTACATTACTGTAGCACTTCTGATTTCTTTCAGCTCATCTTTCCTTTTACCTGTAGGTAAATGAGAATGAGAAGTATGTCTGGCATGGGAGGAGTGCTTTTGTTCCTTGATCGACTGTTCTTTTCCAGGTGGTTGAATTCTGTAATGCAAGTACTCACAACCAAGAAGCTCCAAACTTACAGAACCAAATGTGCAGCCTCAGAAGTGCGTGGGACATAATCACAGAATCTGCTGACTTTAATCACAGCTTTCCCATGAATGGGACTGAGCTTCCACCTCCTCCCACATTCTCCCTTATACAGGCTGGTGACAAAGTGGTCTGTTTAGTGCTGGATGTGTCTAGCAAGATGGCAGAGGTAACATTTTGAATTTAAATGATTATAAACCATTTATAATTTTTCCCATGAGTTTTTAATTGTTTTTATTTTCAGGGGGTAAAGGGGAATGAGGAAAGGAGGCAAAAGGTTTGTGGTAGTCAAGGACATCTTATCTTCCTGGAGACAGGAGGAACAAATTCAGAATGTGGCCCAAAAATGGAGATAATGCAGATAAATGAAATCCATAGATAATTCCTAACCCTCATTTTTGCTACTAATTGCAACTTTTCCCAACCAAAACCATTTTCCAAAACTCTGACATGTAACAAAAAGCTTCTGCCTGGCCATATTCCACTCACTGGTAAATATTCCTGGTCGAGGTAGTAGACTTGTGAGTTTGAAGTGAACATGCATGTCCTTTATATGTATATTTTCCATGTCACTATGTACAGGAGATGATATCTCAGTATTCTGGTGATTTATCAGCCTCCTGGAAAACCACTCTTAAAAACTCTGGTTCTCAGAGAGTGATTAAAGGCTGAGTCTCTGGAATCAGGCAGATGTGCGTTAATACCTGGCTCCTTCACTTACTGTCTATGTAATAAAGAGCAAGATGACCTCTCTGAAAAACAGTTTTCTCATAGGTAAAATAGTGATAATAACACCTACTTTCATAACAGTCAACTGTTACATTTTTAGGAAATTTGCAAGCCAGTTATTAAACATAGCCATTAATAAAGATTAAGTAAATTTACAATTAGATAAAATATATTAAAACACATGTACTAAATGCTCAAAACTCATCACTTCTAAATTTTTCACTAGTATCTATGCCAAAGTTGCCAAACTATGACCCACTACCTGTTCTTAGGAAGGGAAGAGTATGTGCAGTGGCCAAGAGGCAAAATTAGGACTTGTTCAAGGGAAGGGCATTGATTGGTATGGCTATAACTAACACACGGGAGAGCTGAGAAGTGGCAAATGGGAAAGAGGCATGGTATGGATTTGAGAGAAATTCAAGATGTTGAATTGAAAGGACTGATTTAATGTTATGGGAGCTGGTAACAGAGGAGTGGTAAAAGAGAGTCCCAGGTTTCTGGGACTAGTGGGAGTAGAGATCATGATTGGCAATGATGATTTGATGACCATGATAGTGGCAATAGCTATTATATTCTGTGTGCTTACTCAGTTTCCATTTTGCAGATAAGCAAACTGAAGCTAAAAAAATGGAAGTAATTTTTCCATGGTCACATAATTAGCAAAGGTTGAAGACAGGGTTCAAAGTCCTTATTCTATCCCCTTTGCAAACTTACTTCCCAATATTGTAAGAGAAACTATATTCAAGAAGACTGGTAATGAATTCAAAGTATGTAGAATTTGAGGTACCTGTGGGACGTTAAATTGGTGATGTGTCTTAAGAAGTGTGAAATGCAGGTCCAGATATTAAGGGAGATGTCTGCGTTGGAGATGGAGATCATAGTCATTACTGAACAGGTGATCACTGAAGCTCAGCTGGCTGTTCCTTTCTCTTTTCCCACAACCTTCAAAATAAGTGACTCCAGAGCATTAATCAGTAGCATTCCTTGCCTAAACCTGGTCACTATATTACTTTATATTTGGTTAGTACTTCATGGTATAACTATACCATCATATACATATCTTAGTTAATCCTCATAGCAACTCCCATTTAATAAACAAGAAAGATATTATCCCCACTTCACAGATGCAGTGAACAGGATAGTGCAAGACAGATACTCACTCTTCCCTACCACAAGATCTCCTTGCAATGTTTCCTTTTACCCAGACTGAATTTTAAAAGAAGCAGTTACAAACCTAGTTTCAATTGGTTTCATGGATCTCTGAATTCTAGGTTGGAGAGAAATAGTGGGGGATATGTGTTCTTAGAAGAGAGTAGTAAATTATGAGCAGCTTGTTGGGGGCAGTGTTCCAAACTACTCCCCCTTCCCTGAAAAGCATTGCATTTTGGAGCCTGCAATTAATCACCTAATATTCTAATATTGTGTAAGCCTTTACAACTCAAAAAATTATAATCCAACATCTCTAAAGAAGTAGCAGAGAAGTTTGCTAATAAGTTACTTGATCATACTTTTGTCTACCAACTAAATGTTGTCACCTTCCTTTTTCCTTTTTGGGACATAGGCTGACAGACTCCTTCGACTGCAACAAGCAGCAGAATTTTATTTGATGCAGATTGTTGAAATTCATACCTTTGTGGGTATTGCAAGTTTCAGTAGCAAAGGAGAGATCAGAGCCCAGCTACACCAAATTAACAGTAATGATGACCGAAAGCTGCTGGTTTCATATCTGCCCACCACTGTGTCAGCTGGAGCAGAAGCCAGCATCTGTTCAGGGCTTAAGAAGGGATTTGAGGTATGGTAGAGCTTCCTAATTCTTGGATAACATCACTTTCCTTTCCTTCATTCTATATACGAGGTTTCTTCTGATGAGGGGCAATATGTGACAGTAGGTCATAACAGCCTCAACAATAGAAGAATAGTGATAGATTATATTTAAAGTCAGGAACCATGTCTTGTTCACCGTTGTATTCCCTGTGCCTAGCAAAGCATCTGATTTATAATAATTGCTTGATAAATGCTTGCTGAAGGAATGAATAAATAAATGAATATAATGGCTAAGATCAGAGCACTTAAACATCATCTGGGCACTTTCTAAACTGTCTCTATCCATTCTAGGACTATTCTAGTTGTGGCCATTTTTATCCTTGGGTTTTCAACATGTCTAGGTTTTCAACATGTCAAAATCAACATGTCCAGCTTCTGCCTGTAGTAATACTAGACCCCACATATATGAGAATGAAGTAAGGCCAGAGATATGTTTCAAGGAATGACAGAGTTCATCTAAATCAGCACAAGTTTGGATTCAGCATCTGGGATGCAGCCACACATCAAGCATCTGATAGCAAAACAAGATACTTCAGCTTCTGTTGTTGCTACCTACAGCCAAGTATTTCTCAATCTTGGCTGCCCATTGAAATAGGCTGGGGATTAAAAAAATACTGATGCCTGGGTCTTACCCAAGAGATTCTGACTTAATTGATCTGAGGTGTGCTTAGCCACTAAAAATTTTTAAAGCTCCCCATCTGATTCCAATGTGCAGTGAAGGTTGAGAACCACTGCTCTAGGCCCTCTCATTGGTCACTTACTGGATCTCGGGATCAAGGCTCTCACCCAGTAATGGAACCCACATCTTCTATGATGGACACTATTCTAAACTACCGGCATATCATGAGGATTCAAGCAGGAACGGTCCCTGCCCACAAGCAAACTGGGAATAGCCTTTGAGTGACACGTGCTGTGAGGGATGAGGTGAAGACTGAGATGGGATGGGCATGGAGTCTATGGAGCTACAGGGAGCATCAATGGGGTGTGTGCCTCATTGGTGGGAATTTGGAATGAGAGGTGAATTCTTCTGCTCAGTAAAACAATATGAACTAGAACTTCTCCCAAATGACTGATACTCTATGTTCAGGTGGTTGAAAAACTGAATGGAAAAGCCTATGGCTCTGTGATGATATTAGTGACCAGTGGAGATGATAAGCATATCAGCAACTGCTTACTCACTGTACTCAGCAGTGGTTCGACCATTCATTCCATTGCCCTAGGTTCATCTGTGGTCCAAAACCTAGAGGAATTATCACAACATACAGGTAATAAATTTCTAAAAACATATCTTTTAAAGCATTTCCTTTTAACTGGAATATTCAAAGCACAACCATGAAACTCAGATTATATGGCTTAATTGAAAAAGTTAAAAGTTTTCTTAAAAACACACAAAATTCATTGCTATTATCTGTTAAAATTTTGTTGATTTTTTTATCTTTTCTCTAGAAATTTCCAATTAAATACATCCAATGAAAATAACGTTTTTATAATTTATTTGTTAAACCAGCCTGACCATTTATAATCATGCAGCTAAAAAATATATTGACGATTAAGTGCACTAACTTCTATGATAAGGACACACATGGTATTGTAAGATATATATCGTTTTTTGTTCTAAATGAAGCATAGAAAACTTTTATCATATATTCCTTATATTCAGTAAAAAAAAATAGGTTGCTGATTTGACAATGGAAATTTAGGTTTTATTGAATTATTTTTTAACATAATGTTTTCAGAATATAAAGGTAAATAGGGATGTAAATAGATAGCAATTAAACCAAATTATCTAGGAATTACCTTAATTACAAGACTGGTTAATAAATATTGAATTCTTATGTGCTAGGCAGAGTCCTAGACCCTCACAATACAGCTGTGAGTAGAACAGCTGAAACCACATGCTTGGGACCATGTACCAAGTGGTTGTATAGGCTATCATGCAAGGCAAGTCAAGCACAGCTCCTCCTTCCCCAAAACTAACAATCTAATACAAAGAAGTTTGTTGGAAAAGGCCTAACATTTTATTTTTTGTCTTATTTTATCTATTTAAGAGTTAACATCCCAATCATGTATTTCAGGAGGCTTAAAGTTCTTTGTTCCAGATAAATCAGACTCCAATAGCATGATTGATGCTTTCAGTAGAATTTCCTCTGGAACTGGAGACATTTTTCAGCAACGTGTTCAGGTCAGAATTTTCTCAATGTTATATTTACAGATGGGGGGTGGGGGAGGAGAAGGAAGCAAGGGAAATAGATGAATTGTGCTGACTGTTTCATTAACCTAATTTGAATATGTAATGGCCTGTGTGTAGAAGGCTTCTTGGCATCACCAGAGCCTGGCTTCCTTTTCACCCGGCATCTGTCCTTCTCAGCCCTAGGAGCCATGGTCTGTTATTGCTACCTGAGCTTTTCAAGGTCTGTGAGCAGAGCTTGCTCCTTCCTGTGGCTCAAAATGCAGGTGTGGGCAGGGTGGACGCAGGACCCAGAAGAAAAATAAGAAACTGAGTATTTAGTTTTAGTGCCATAATAATTTTCCATAAATCAGAATCCACCTTACTTTTTTGCTTAACATCTTTGAAACTCCTCCCTTGTATAAGGAGTACCAACTAGTTCATTAAATTCTAAAAATTTTTAAATGTCTCTTCAACTACAACAATTTACTTGATTTTTGTTCACAAAAGCTTCCTCTAGTCAAGTAGTTTTAAAGGGCCAATATTTTTTTCTTTTTAAGTACTTTAAAGATATTTTGGACATATTTGAATAATGTTTTGAAGAAAATCCCATCTGTAATTTCCTCACAGATGGTAAGTGAACCTGCCAAGTTTATGACTTAATGTGAACAATGCAGTTAGTAAATTATTGTTAGGACATGTTTAACATGAATATTATATGTACACAGTAAAGGTAATGACCACAATTCCACAATTGGAAGTAAAAAATGTGAGTTATAAATGACAATATATTATTATAAATTAGACCATAATCAGTTCTTCTGCTGATAATATTCAACAATCTTTATAACCCATGGTATCCTCTTTAGTAATATGGAATAAAGAAAAATGTTTTAAAATGTAAAAACCAGATATAATATAAAATATTATTCATGTGGGTTCAAATTAGCCCTAGCTGTTCCATGCCATTAGTGCTGCCATCAGGAACTATGATCAGGAACTATGTCTATGTCCCCTTTGGCAGCCCTGGACCCAGCACAGAACATGGCATAGTAGTCAACAGTCCACAGCCATTTTAAATTGAACGACTAGTCCAAAATGTCTTTGCTGTCATCCACCAATATAATTTTATATGGTTTCCAGGTTTGAGCAATTTTTACCAAGTGCTAATAATGTATTTACTTAATAAATATAAATTTCGAAAGTTATTTATAGACTTGTCTCCATTGTGACTACATAGTAATTAAATGCAAGGATTCTGATGTCAGCCTGCCTGGGTTTTATCCCAATTCTACCTCCTTGCTATGGGACATTGGGTAGATTACTTCTCTAAGCCTAAAGCTTCTTGTCTGTAAAATGTAGATAACAATAGCACTTTTATCTGAGGGTTTTCATAAGGAACAAGTGAGATAACATAGGAGAAGCATTTAGCACAGTGCCAGGCATATGTATGTATTCACTCTGTACATGTTACACATGGGTGTACACACATGCGAGCACTGTCTTATTGTGAATGGCTGAATGACTTTTTAAATGTTCCCAAACCCTCCCCAAGCCCATTTTTTTCTTATTAAGATATGGAAAATTATTTGGACAGATTACATACAAATTAATAAAATGTAAGCACATTTGCAAGTAAAAATGTTTAAAACTTTGTTATTATAATTGCTGATCTGAAACCAATGTTGATTTGGATGAGAGGCAATATGAGAACAATTAAAATCTTTTGGCAAAGCATAATGAAATGACACTTGCTTTAACTATAAAAAACATTTTATACCTACTGAATACTAAACAACATTTTGCTTTGGCAAATTTTATATGAAAAATGATTTATATAACAACAGTACATGTCAGAATTAAATTATTTTTACTTTCACCAATTCATTTTTGTCATAAAAGTAAAGAAAAAGATGAAATGATTATTCATATGCCAGAAACTCTTATATATATTCTCTTTAACAGCTAGAAAGTATGGGTGAAAACGTTAAACCTCATCACCAATTGAAAAACACTGTGATTGTGGATAACAGTGTGGGCAATGACACTAACTTCCTGGTTACATGGCAGAGCAGTGGTCTCCCTGAGATTGTATTATTTGATCCTGATGGAAGAAAATACTACACAAATAATTTTATCACCAATCTAGCTCTTCGGACAGCTAGCCTCTGGATTCCAGGAACTGCTAAGGTAGGTGTTTTGAGCTTGTTCATAATGACATTTAACCAACTATATGACTTTCAATTGAATCATAGGATTAAATGCATTGTGTAAAGAAAAAATTGGTTTGATATATCAAAACTTTAAATTTGAGAGAGTTTTGTTAATATTTTGAGAGAGTTTTGTTAATATATAAAAATTTAAGAGGAAAAACTAAGGGTATGTTTAAAACTTTAAATGTCAGATACCAAATGCTTTTCTCACTTCAACAGTGTAAATTAGTATTTCCACTAGTAGTACAAAAATTTTTTTCCAGCCTACATCTTTCTTTACATAATCCTTATACACATAGTCATCTATATGCTTAGGAAAAATATTTACCTAGAATTTGTAATATGAATGCATGTAATCCGTTTGTTTTTCAGCACCTACTATGTGTTTGGTCTTGTTCTAGTTACTTTATAGTAAAATGTCATGATAGGAGTAAGCACAGGGTACTGTCAGAGCATACAGGAGGGTGGGAAAGAGAATTCTTCCTGGAAGTGAAGACATCAAAATGGAAATATAAGGAATAAAGGGGCCAGAAATTGTGTATGACATTCTGGGCAGAAGAAACAGCATTTAGAAAGGCTCTGAGAAAAAGAACATGGCTGTTAATACAACTGTGAGTAGTTTAATGTGGACGAACATAGCACATAAGGTGGGGGTATAGGCAAAGGAAGGAGAGGGGAGTGATGAGGCTGGACAAACACAGGAGCGATGTCAGGAAGGGCTTTTTGCACAACAACGAAGGGAACAGAGGCTTGAGTCCTTAAGGTACAAGGAAACCACTAAAGTTCTAAGCAGGGTTGTAGATTGATCAGATCTGCTCTTGCACCACCTGAATTCAGTGCCTTGTCACAGACCACCCCTGCCCCCACTCCCATCACTGTTGACAGCCTGTTAACCGACCTTCTTGACTCTGAATTTCCATCTCTCTCTTCCTTTCTTCATCTCTATCAGAGTGATCCTTTTGAAGCACAAATCTGATCAACCTCCTGTTCCAGGATGAACTATAAGTGGTTACTTTACATACTAGGCCCTTCGTGTTCTGGCTTCTGCCCAAGCTTATGTCATACCCCTTCTCTCAAACACCCTATGCTCTGCTCCTACTGAACTTTTCTCCAAAGTCATCATGTTTTTTTCACAGCTGTGCACAAGGGCCAGGGGCACATTACCTACTTCTTGTTCCTTTTGCCTTAGTCTGGATTAGGTGCCCATACTGCAGCACTTATTACACCCAAAGAGAACTTTTTGATGTGGAGGGTCTGGCCTCATTCTGGATAGCATACTAATGCTATGAATTCAAGAAAGACTATAGAGAGCTAGATCTTGGTGCTTGAGTCATGACTTCACTGGACAATTCCAGTGAAGGCTGGGTAGGGTGTGGAGCATCTTAGCTCTCCACCTGAGTCACACCTTTCCCACTGCTTTTCTGTTCTTCCTCCTGCTCTGTGTGCTCCTCCTGTTATTTCCAGGGTTTAATAAGGAGTACTAGTTACAAAAAAGCAATATATGTAGAGCTTAGTCAAAAGGATAAGTTTTTGCTAGCCTTTTTCTTTCAGACTTTCTTTTGTAGGTTTCTCCCATTCAGTCTAGATAGGCAAGAGAATGGTGTTTAGCAGTATTTCCATAAATTACTCAACACAGACATTGTATAATCCTGATCTATTAAAAATAGTAGGTCTTTTTTTTAATCCCTATCAATATATGTGGTTTTTATTGCTTGAGATTTCTGGGAGTGGGAGCTTAGGGGAGTGGAGGGAAAGAAGGCTATTCTTGCCTTTTAGTCCAAGGTGTCCACATAAATCATAATGGTCCACTTAGTTTGATGTAATTTTCTCAGTTATGAAAATAAATAAAAACATTTAATCTCCTTTTGGGTAAAGGGGCTCAGATTAATATTTGAAAAGTACTTTGAAACTGCACACTGTTATTATGCTCTAAAACTGTGAATCAAGATGTATTCTTCCCCACCCCAAATAAATCCGTAAAATTCCCTAAAGAATACCTAAGAATAAAATTGGTGTATGCCATGAAAGCCATGTAAATATGAATTCAGTCATCCCTTAACCAATATTACTTTTCCTGACATCCTTTTGTAATATTTTTAAAAAATGCAACATCAACAAAAGAAGAGCAAAAAACCCCAGGGGCTTAGATGTATGCTTTAAAATTAGGTTTGATTTTTTTTTTTTTCCTTCACACTTTTCAAAACAAAAAGCTTTTGTTTTACAGCCAGGGCGCTGGACTTACACACTGAACAATACTCACCATTCTCTGCAAGCCCTGAAAGTGACAGTGACCTCTCGTGCCTCCAGCTCAGCTGTACCCCCATTCACTGTGGAAGCCTTTGTGGAAAGAGACAGCACCCATTTTCCCCAGCCCTTCATGATTTATGCCAATGTGAGAAAGGGGTTTTATCCCATTCTTAATGCTACTGTAACTGCCACAGTTGAGCCAGAGACTGGAGATCCTGTCACTCTGAGACTTCTGGATAATGGAGCAGGTAAGAAGAAATGTCATTCTGATTTTCATGTTCTCAAGAGCTGTGGTGATATGATGCTGTAGTATCGATATTAAGCTTATCTGCAAAATTCCTACAATTCAATTATTTTTCTTATTCAATCTTATCAGATTCTCAAATTCTCAGAGACTCACTGACATACTGAGTAGCTGCAGGTTGACTAGAGAAAAGAGTCCCTGTGAGGCTCCACTCAGTGAGGTCCTTATGACATACCCATATTCCTCTAAGATTCATCAGTTTTGCTATCCAAAAGAACAAGATTGCACAGTTAAAATAGTAAATGAAAACTCAAGAAGGGAGATACAGTGACGGTTAACCCATTTTTTCCCCTTTGGACCCAGTTGTGAAGAAAAAATTGGAAATAGAACTTATGACCCATGAGTTGACCCTGGACTATTCTTTGGCTGAGTAGCTGGGTTGACAGGAGGGCACAGCCTATCTGTAGCACAGCCAGTGTCTTTTACATGTGTGATTTGGTCCCAAGAAGACCAGGCCCACAAGCCCGGAGGAAGCAGGATAGAGATTTCCTTACCCCTGGGAAAATAAAATAAAACAAAACAAAACCCTACCTCAAAGCTCTCATTTTGTACAGAGTTCAGAGCCTCATCATTATACATTACAGACAGCACAGCATCTGGCCAGGCAAACGGCAACACTTGGACTATTTCTCATTAATTTTTTTTTACTTTAAAAAACAAACTCCTTTGTTGTTCCATTTTTCCTGTTCTGTTCTTTTCCTAAACTAAATTCTCTGAATGATAATAGACCTTGAGGTCTATGTTGGCAGCCCTAAATGTTTGATCTACTAATAAAATTATATTCTTTCACCCTGTTGTTTCCAAGTTAATCTTTTTCCAAGAGTCTTGGGTTTGGCAGCCCATTAGTATCTTGCCATGGCAATAGCGTATGACATTTATGAAACAAAAGTTCATTCAAAGGATTTTGGTTCAAGTCCACCTCAGAGCGATACCAGAGAAGTCTTCTTGTTTTGCCTATTGGAGTGGATCCAAATGAACTTCTCGTGCTCTCATTGCTTATCCATGTCCTTACCTTTCATTTTTGTTTACAGTCCAAAAATGCACTTTGTAGAATGTTTCTCCCTTGCCCAGACTGTGGGCTGGCCTGGAGAACAGATCCTGCTTCTCTTAGGGAAAACTACCTGATTCAGCTCAATAGGCTTTTATATGTATTCCCTGGAACCATTTTATTTGTTTGATGTCTAAATTTATATGCTAATGAATGAAATAATGAGAAATACTGCTCAAGCCACAAAGTGTAAATTTAGTTTTCCTCCAACAATACTTAACATAATGTACAAAGTAGTCTAATACTTATTAATATTTTTACAATGGAAGCAATATTTATATGCTAAGCAAAATTAGTGAATAATAAAATGTATACCTATAAAATGCTTTATAATTTAAAATGTACTTTCTCATGCATAGTCTCAAGTAATCATCACAACTCTCAACCCTTTGAGATAACTTATCTCCATTTTATAGATTAGAAAACTGAGGCTCAGATACATGAAGCTTCACAGCTACTAAGTGGCAGATCCAGACCTTAAAACCAAGTCCACTGACTCCCAAGCCAATATTCTTTCTCCGTTTCTCTCTGCCTCAGTGATTAAAAGAGATAGCAGTGATGACAGTGATATGCAGAGATTTTCCTTTTGTTATTTCCCAACAAAGATATACCTTATTGATCATTAAACCACTAAATACCAACATTCGATGTCTTTCCAATAGACAAAAAGTTTTTGTAAGTCTACTTTGATAGTAAGATGTTTAACACTTCTATTTTATTTAAATATACTTTTACTTTTCTCATGTTAAATAGCCCTGCCTCTGCAGAGGGAAAAAGGGGGACACTAGGGCACTTTAGCAATGACACAATGCTGGGGTGCAGGGCTGAGTGTGTGGTGTGAGAACTGAATTCACCTCTAGGATGGGACAAGCTACTTGCCTAGTGTGGCCACCTGCATTTGAATGGTGAATGTGATCTGCATTTGGGCTAAGCTGGGCCTCCCACTGCCACCCTGGTGTCTAGGCCTTCCTGCCATTCAGCAATGGACTTGGTTTGGAATTGAACTGCTCTCTGAGGATTAATGCCAAAGAAAGGAAATCTAGTACTGGCCAAGCTTTAGGAATACCCCTGCCCCCCCGAAGCAAGGTACAGTAGATGGAGCCAAATTCTGTCAAAGTCCAGATCATCAAGCCCCTTAGAATCTAGAGCAACAGTCCCATGCATCTTCTAATGAGAAAATTAAATAATTTCATACTATGTTAACAGCTACCAAAGTTTTTATCAGAGGTTCTTAGTGAAATGGCTTCAAAATGTTCATAAATCCTTGAAATTGTAGGAAAATATGTGTGTGCATATATAAATATATATGTAAATAAACATATTTATATGTTTATTTCCTGGGGAAAAATAGCTTTCATCTCAAAATAGTCTGTGTTTCAGAATGTGCTTCGTTTCTATAAAAAAGCTAGTATTATTTTCAGTGATACAAATGAGAGCTTTAAAGGTGATTATTAAGTGTTTTATTAACATTGAAGCAGATACAACTCATTTGCCTTTAGAAAATAGTTTTTCAGAAGTTAAGAAATCATAGGGAGAAATTATGGAGCCATTGGGTTTTTAATCACCTGAAAATATCAAAAGGATAGGTATGACCATGATAATATATGCTAATGTGGGAAGAATAAGGGAAGTAAATCTTATTTTTAAAGACTTAAATATTAGTAATAAATTATGATGACAAGTATTGACATTGATTTTTTTTATATATACAGGTGCTGATGTTATAAAAAATGATGGAATTTACTCGAGGTATTTTTTCTCCTTTGCTGGAAATGGCAGATATAGCTTGAAAGTGCATGCCAGTCACTCTCCCAGCGTAAGGACCCTAGTCCACTCTATTCCAGGGAGTCATGCTATGTATGTACCAGGTTACATAGCAAATGGTAAGAATCATTGGCAAGGTTATTTGAGTAATATCTTTTCATGTATATATCTCTGATGGGTATATGTGTTTGTGTGTGTGTATGTGTGTGTGCATGTGTGTGTGTGTGTTTATCAGGCAAGAAGAAGAAAGAGAGAGGGTAAGAAGAAATGAATTTTAAACTCTTTATATTAAAGTCAATATATAGGCTGGTCCAAAGGTAGTGAGTGTCACTTGATTATTCACAGTCAGTTACAGTTAACTCCTTGTTCTTCTACTCCCCCGCCCCACTCATGCACTTGACTAGTCTTTCAAAAAAAAAAAAGAATAGTCAATATATAATTGTTGACTGTTCTTCAATCCTTATTGATTCAGCGGTAGTGGATAACAGGAAGGCATTAGGTAATTCCCATAGATTATACCTACTTTCATTTCAGTCATTATTTTGACCTCTTTCTTATTTCCTAGGAAGTACTAACAGATAAAGAGATTTATTGAGTTTTCTCAGTTCTCCTCCTGTGTTTCCTCTACAGAGGTTTAGGCAAGAGAAAGGCAAAAATTTGTTAGCAGTTGAAGAAGGATGCAAATAGCCCAAATAATCCACACAGGAATGAGTTCCTGAATAAATATGAGCTTGGGTATTATAGACAACTGAGTGATCCTGAAGATGTCTGTTTCCTTTAAGATAATAGGCGCCACATAAATAGAAAGCATGCTATTTTAACACCATTATAATAGTTCCGATAGGAACAGTGTTTAAAATATACAGACAAACAAAATATATCATGCTATAGTTTTAAAAACAGTCTCAGAAAAATTTTCCAGTTTTTTATTTCTAAATATGCATATTCTTTATGAATATTATTCTGTATTTTAGAAGTTATAATTAGTCATTTGGACTATCCATAACATGATCCTATACTTTTGTTCTATATACTACTTTTCACTAGAAATAATCAAAATGCTACAGAGGATTTCATCTGCTGATCTTTTTTGTGTTGCCTAGAACACATTTACTCTCACTTGTATTTAAAATAATTTGGATTACTTGAACAGTAATGCAAATCAATTTGCATTGTAATATATACAATTGCATTGTAACAGTAATGCAAATCAATTTGCAATAACATGGTTTTATTACATAGATATGATTTTGTCTCTAGATGTATAGTTTGTTTCCAACAGATATTCTCTCTTTTATTCATATGTACATTTTTGAAGGCCTAGCAGGTGACAGACTTAGTCCTAGAACTTGGGAAACCATGTAGAATAAGACCTGATTCTTATCAAAGAGCTTGAAGGCTACTGTCTCATCTGAGCATCTTTCTAAATATATGAGTTTAGCCAGGCACGGTGGCTCACGCTGTAATCCTACACTCTGGGAGCGGGCGGATTGCTTGAGTCAGGAGTTCAAAACCAGCCTGAGCAAGAGCGAGACCCCGTCTCTACTATAAATAGAAAGAAATTAATTGGCCAACTAATATATATAGAAAAAATTAGCTGGGCATGGTGACTCATGCCTGTAGTCCCAGCTACTCAGGAGGCTGAGGCAGCAGAATTGCTTGAGCCCAGGAGTTTGAGGTTGCTGTGAGCTAGGCTGACGCCATGGTACTCACTCTAGCCTGTGCAACAAAGCGAGATTCTGTCTCAAAAAAATAAATAAATAAATAAAATAAAATATATGAGTTTAAAGGATGCAGATGTTAGTATCTAGTATACAGTGAGATTGGAAAAGTAATGTTCAACTATGCTTTTATCTGTGTACTTCATATAGGCCCTAAGAACACAGAAAAGAGAAAGTCAGCTTTCCCTAGGCATGCCTACTACATGTAACATTGACTTTTTCAGCTCATTTTCAGGTGATGACCTGGAGCTGAATGCTGAGAGCTGCTCTATTTTCACACCACCAAATCCCCAAATATAGCAGCATCTGCAGCCTTCCTCCCATTTCAGTCCTCACCTTTCCTGACTTCAGCAGTATATGACATAGTCCACGGATCTCTCCTTTGCTATTTCTTGATTTCCGTGATGCCACACTCTCCTGATTTACCTTTTATTCTCAGGAATTTTTTGTCAGGCTCTTTTTCCAGCTCCCCCTTTTCTACCAGACCTCTAAATGTGGACAATTCTCAGAGCTCAGTCCTCACATTCTCACTCTACCTCTGGAGCCACATTGCCTGGGTCTGAAACCTACCTACTCCACTTATTAGCTGTGTGATCTGGGGCAAGTTACCTAGCTTTCGTGTCTCTCCCTTTCATCATCTATAAAAATGGGGTAATAAATATACCTTTCTCATAGCCTTGCTGGGAAAATTAAATATTTGATACATGTAAGGCACTTAGAATCATGCCTGGCACATAGTAGGCATTCAATAAATACTACTTATCATTATAGTTGAAATTATTAAATGATCTCATTTAACCATATGGCTTTAATAACATCTATAATATATGCCCATAAGCTCCAAATTCATAATTTCAAAATTGTTAAATCTAGCTAAAACCTTTTTTTTTTTTTTTTGAGCTTAAAATCCATATCTAAGGCTGGGCGTTGTGACTCACACCTGTAATCCTAGCCCTCCGGGAGGCCGAGGCCGGAGGATTGCTTGAGCTCAGGAGTTTGAGACCAGCCTGAGCAAGAGCAAGACCCCGTCTCTACTATAAATAGAAGGAAATTAGCCAAACAACTAAAAGTAGAAAAAACAAAAATTAGCCGGGCACAGTGGCACATGCCTATAGTCCTAGCTACCTGGGAGGCTGAGGCAGAAGGATCACTTGACCCCAGGAGCTTGAGGTTGCTGTGAACTAGGCTGACGCCACTGTACTCTAACCCAGGCAAGAGAGCGAGACTCTGTCTCAAGAAAAAAAAACAAAAAACCTAAAAAAAAAATCCATGTCTAACTGGCTCATTAACATCTTTAATTAGATGTTTTATAGGAATCACATACCTTATATCTTAATTTTTGGTCCCTTTCTCCTTAGCCTGCTTCTTCTCCCAACTTGCTCATTTTAGAAACCTGGGGCCTTTTTTTTCTTTTTTCTTTTTACCAATTTTCTCTTCTTCATCATTTCATGTTCAAATAATTACCAGTTTTTGTCAATTTTGTCTCCAAAATACATCTTGAACTGCCTCTCTTGCCTCTTCTCCACTGCTATCACCACCCCATGCTGCCATCTTCTCTCACCTGGACTGGTGAATGGCTGCCTGCTCTCGCTGCTGGCTGTGCTTTAGTTCATTCTCCACTGAGCAGCCAGAGTGACCTGTTAGGAAGCAAATGTGAGCATGTTACTCCCCTGCTTCCCTGCAGCATGTAACATTAAAATCTAAAACCACTGCACTGGCCCACGAGGTCCTGCATGAACTTTTCTCTCCTGCCTCATCTCAAACTACTCTCCTTTCTCTAATTTCATTTTTCTAACTTGAAAGCTCTTCTGTACATCAGGCTTTTACACCAGCTTTTCCCTCCGCCTGAATTGTTCTTCCTTCCACTTTTTACCTGTCTGACTCCTTCCTACTCAACCTTTAGGAAACCTTTCAATGTTACTTCTTTGATACCACTCTAAATTATGGACCTGTTATTTTCCTCCATAGCATTCTGCCTTCTTTCCTTCTTAGACTTATCACAATTTGTAAATATGTTTATCAATATGATTAACATGACTATAAATTCTATAAGGGATACCATACTGTCCATGATTACTGGCACAGCATATGCCCTCAACAAATATTTATTGAATGAATGGATGATTGAATGAATTATTGAATAAATAAACCCAGTTACTATTCTAAAGATGTAGTAAAGAAAAAAAATGGTTTAAAATAGTCTCTTAATAATTTGTCAAGAACAAGCTATTCAGGAGATTTGTAATTTGTGCTATTTTTTTCTTTTGTGTCCCAGGTAACATTCAGATGAATGCCCCAAGGAAGTCAGTGGGCAGAAGTGAGGAGGAGCAAAAGTGGGGCTTTGGCCGAATAAGCTCAGGGGGTTCCTTTTCAGTGCTGGGAGTGCCAACCAGCCTCCATACTGATGTGTTTCCACCTTGCAAAATTATTGACCTGGAAGCTATAAAAGTGGAAGAAGAGGTGACCCTATCTTGGACAGCACCCGGAGAAGACTTTGATCAGGGACAAGGTAAGTTTGCTCATTTCATTACCTATTTTTCCACAAGATAGCGTTTCTAATAACTATGTCAGGGGTTAGTTGGGTGAAATTAGATTTGGGGTTTAGAACTGAAAAATCTGCATTGGGTTGTTATGAAAAGCTCTGAGTTGCTGATAAAGCCTTAAATCTTAGAGTGCAAGGAGAATGAGTCAGCTGCCCCAGGATTGAAGAAGTCCTGGTTAACTCGCTGATACTAATCATTCAGAAACCTTGATAGGACCATAAATATCACATGTACAGTGGTCTTTTCAGCAGAAATGGGTTCTGTATTACAGAGCATGGGCTTCTCAATACTGGAGGCAATTAGTTTTCTGAAAATTGGATAGTGAATATTTGTTCATATATTTACAAGTCAGGTTCAGGGGAATATTTCCCATAACTCTTGCAAACCTTAGTGCATTTTTCTCTCCCACTTCTGGCCATCATTTTTATTAAGAAGGCTGGGATCAGTACCCTGATTCAGGGCTTTCTTATCCTTGCATGGGTAAACATTGATGGCATACCTTCTTCTACCTTCCTTTTTCTAAGGCTTATGCTAACTTGCAGCCTTCCTCCCACATTATCTTTATTCCAGATTTTTACTCAATTGTCACACATCATTTATTAAGAAATTTTTATTTCCCTCTACTTATTTGAATTCCACCTTAATCATATACTAAATTCCTGAATTTATTTTGGCCTACTTATATATATAAGTCTATTTATGCACCCATACCATAGTGTCTTAGTTATTGAGGCATTATAGTTTTTTTATATCTGGTAGTGTTGGTCCTTCCACATTGCTATTTTTTAGACTTTATATGCCCATTTTTTATTATTTACTTTCCATATGAAGTTTACAATAAGCTTGACTAGTTAAAGCATAAGCTAGAGGCATTTTTAATAGAATCACATAAAATTTACAAAATAACTTAGGGAAAAATAACATCTTTGTTGTATTGAATCTTGCTTTTAAAAAAACATAAAATTCTCTTGTTCAGGTTTTAATATGAGTCCTTATGTAGTGTTCTAAAGTTTTGCTCATATTCATATTCTTATTATCTTTATTCCTAGATATTTTAACTTTTTGCTGTTATTCTCATTAATAATTTCTAATAAACTAGAAAAATTACTCAGGGGGACTTAACCTTCACATTTATATTTTTTAAATTTCAGCTACAAGCTATGAAATAAGAATGAGTAAAAGTCTGCAGAATATTCAAGATGACTTTAACAATGCTATTTCAGTGAATACGTCAAATCTAAATCCTCAGGAAGCTGGCACCAGAGAGATATTTACATTCTCTCCCAAACTTTTCACAAATGGACCTGAACATCAACCTGATGGAGAGACACAAGAAAGCCACAGAATTTATGTGGCAGTACGAGCAGTGGATAGGAACTCCTTAAAGTCGGCTGTATCTAACATTGCCCAGGCATCTCTGTTTATCCCCCCAAATTCTGCCCCTATACCTGCCAGAGATTATCTAATATTGAAAGGAGTTTTAACAGCAATGGGTTTGATAGGAATCATTTGCCTTATTATAGTTGGAATACACTATACTGTAAATAGGAAGAAGAGAGCAGACAAGAAAGACAATAGAACAAAATTACTATGAACAAATGTATAAAATACTTTCCTCCTTAGATATAAGACCTATGGCCTTTACACTTTGCAAATTAAACCAAGAAAGTCAAAGTAACATCAAACTGTACTAAAATGCATTGGGTATTTTACAATACAGATCAGATTTTGACATAGTAAATAAAAAATTCTTTTATGATACTCATTTTGGGGGGGTGCAGGGTGGGAATTAGAAAATTCCTAGCCTTTGGCTTTGGAAAAATAATAAATTATTCTGCAAAGTAATGTCTTTAAAGGCAAGGCAAGGGCAAAGTTGAATCAGAATCAAGAAAAGCTTATTTTATTGAAGTGGAAAAACAACCCCAAGTAAAGAAAAGAGGGTCAGGTCTGAATTATGCAGTATAACTGTCTGTATGAAGTAATTGAAGCAATCATTTAGTTACTTTGATTAATTTTCCATTTCTCCTTATCTGTACAGAACAGGTTGCTTGTTTATAGCTGAAGATCAAGCTGCACTTTATATATGAAGCCTCTGTTATAAAGTTCTTTACCTCTTGCCATTTGGTTAAATATACTACAGATCAAATCCACCACTAGTGCCCAAAGATCTTTTTCACTGCAAGAGGTAACCTTAAAATGTGGGTATTATCCTTGTCCTTTTAAATTGGTTTTGTAACAAAAGTCTATTGAATTTATTGTTTATAAGTTTCAACTCCCATCAAAACAGCTTTCCAAGTTATTGCCTTGGGTATTATTAGATGAAAATGGTTATAGCTCTCATAAGGGTTTAAGTAAGGAATGAATGACAGTGTTCTGAGCTTATTTTAATACATACATAGACCGAACAGTTTTATTCAATTTCAACCAATGCAGAAGTCAAACGGGAGAGACTGACCTTTGGAAATGATCAGCTGGTTCTGTTCTTTGGTTAATAAGAGTCTAGAATCCTTTCTCCATCAAGAACTATTTGCCAAGGGCAGGGGATGAGGAAAGCACAGATTATAAGGAAATAAAAAGCATCTTTCATCTAATTTTATTTCTTCTTTTTTTTAAAGATTATTGAACAATAGAATCACTTGCTTTTTAAATTAAAGAGCTTAAAATTTTATTGAATACATACAAATAATAATATGCAATAGATCTAAGTTTTACAACCAGAACAAATTGAGAATAAAAATTAGATTATTTTGGGGGGTGGTGGAGAGGTAATTGTGGGGAATTGCTACAGGAAGAAAGAGACAGCATGAAGTTCCAAGTGAGAGATTCAGCAGTGCTGGGCAGAAAAAAAACAATCAAATCTCTCTAACTAGGACATCTCCCTGTACTTTATGCCACAGCCCATGTCTGGTCTGTTACCTTCTAAGTCTCGCAGTGCCTAGATTTTTGCAGTTGGGAGCTTCAAGACCCTTGGAGCCCCGTTCCTGACGTGGCAGTCAGTCCCTCCGTCCTCTAATGCAATTATGTCTGTTAGCCTGGAATTTGCTACTCTTTAGTTTCACTCTTGGCTAGTAAAATAGAGAGACAGGGTGTGGTGGGTTTCAAGCTCTCAAGTATTTTCCTCATTTTACAGACAGAAAAATGGAGGGTTCAGTGAGTAATTCAAAGTTCTATGCTGATTAATGGCAGAACTACATAGAAGTAGAGCCAGGTTCTCAGACTACTCCTGTCTATTTAAGAAGGTGCAGACAGATGCCAGGGATTCTACCTAGAAATATTTAACTCTTTCAAGATAGCAGACTTAGATAGCAACTCTTTCAATTAGCAGAAAAGCAGGTATATAGCTTTAAATGGTGGGGTTTCATTGTTGTTGTTTTCCATTTTGTAGATTAAGGAAGGGAATAAATGGACTTAAGTCCAGAAATTAGTAACGCATAGTAGGCAAAACTAAGGATTCTAAAAGCATTGAAGGGCCAGGCACAGTGGCTCACGCCTGTAATCCTAAGACTCTGGGAGGCCTAGGCAGGCGAATCGTTTGAGCTCAGGAGTTTGAGACCAGCCTGAGCAAGAGCAAGACCCCGTCTCTCCCAAAAATAGAAAAAATTAGCCAGGCATGGAAGCACATGCCTGTAGTTTCAGCTACGCAGGAGGCTGACGCAGTAGGATCACTTGAGCCCAGGAGTTTGAGGTTGCTGTGAGCTAGGCTGAAGCCACGGCATTCTAGCTGAGGCAACAGAGTGAGACTCTCTCTGTCTCAAAAAATAAAAAATAAAAAAATAAAGGCATTGAAGTAACAAAAAAGCATAACATGGTAGAAAGGATGATTTTGTGAAGTGGGTAGGGTAAACAATGTTCAGTAGCTGTAAGGAGTGAAAACATTAGACAACAAAAAAGATGTGATAAACGTAGAAAAATAATACATTTAGAGATCCCAGCAATAGATAGAACAGAATCATTGTAAAGGCCTTGTTGATCCTGAATAAATGATAAAAAATTAGAAATGAAAGAATTGGGCCAAATAGGATGAGGAACTATGAAGCATTGGTCGCTTCTGGAATACCACATAAATAGTGTTATCATTGAAGTTTTAACCTGAGATTGCATGAGGAGGAAAATTGTGGGCCAGATGCATAGTTATCTGAGAGAGAGAAGAAAAGTCTATGGAATGAAGGCAATATAGGCAGATATTGTTATCTTCAAATGGCAGAACAGTAATTGTTATGCAGTAGATAGAAATTTGTTCTGGAAATTGAAGAGAATGTTACTTCTCTAATTTTTGCCCTATTCTTTTAGGGATAGTAGAAGAAGATTAAATCTTAATAAAAGGGAAAGTAAGGGATGGGGAATTTTTAAAGGCTATTGATAAAGCCTGTGCACTAAACAGGTTGCTGTTTATGTGAGCACTATTGAGTGCCCCCCCAAAATATTTTTGTAGTTACATGTTAATACCAGAAAGCCTACAAAAATATTTTATTTTATATGCTTTATCTATTGTTACAGTGTAATTATTTTTAGAAAAATCCACCTCTAGATATATCATTCATTTACAACAATGACAAATCTGATTGTACTGGTGGTTGAGTTGCTCATATCAAACTAATCCTCTTGCTGATAATAATTATAATTCTGGAAATAAAGATAAACCACAATTCTTCGGACACTGACAGAAGCAGACAAACACTGGAGGAGCTATGACCCTTTCAAAGGGGGAAGAAATCTAGGTGATATCCATATTTAACCAGATTTTTCCCTGAAAGCTCTCCCCAGTTTGCTCAGAACATCTGCATAAACTCAAATGGAAAACAGCTGTCTTGGTTGACAATCCAGAAGTAAAAGATTGGCTGTCACAGTAGTTGAAAATTGAGGAAGGAAATCCAAGAAAAGATGCAACCACAAAGAGGAAAGTCCTCAAATGTGCAACCTCATAATCCTTGGGTGAATCCTAAAATGTAAAGGGATCTAGAGCTGAGAGGCTAACCAGAACTGAAGAGAGATTTTAACAACTGCCTACTGCCTTGTTCTGAGGAGAATGAGTTTAGGATTCAACCCCACCTATGTTAGAAGGGCTAGTAAGCAGCTTGGGCTTCCATTAAAACTCTAGAAGAGCCACAGTAGAAATAAGGACTATGTCCCAGACTAAGAGTTATGCTCTAGAACTAAGGGGAGAACCAACATTGACCTACTCTGACAAAGCCTAAAACCAAGTCTCCACAGAATCAAGATGATTCATCAATAATCTAACTACCACTAGAACATAACTCAGAGGAGAATCTCTACAACATATCATCCAATATATAATAAATTACTAGACATGCCAACAAGCAGGAAATCCTCCCCAAAATGGAAGATCCAAAAATAATCCAGATTTGGAATTAGAAAACATAGTTTATCATAATCATTATAAATATGATTAAGAAACTATAGGAAAAGATGGATATAAATTATGAATAGAGGAGGAATTTCTGGAAAGATGTGGAAACTCTTAAGCAGTAGGAATCCTAAAATTGAAAAATACAATATATGAATTTTTTTTGTAATGAGTTAATAATAGATTGGTACTACAGAAGAAAGGGTCAGATGATTTGAAGACAGGAAAATAGAAATCATCCAAACTGAAACAGTTTGTTTCAAATCATGAAAAAGCAAAAATGACCTGTGTGACAATATCAAGAATACTAACATATATGTAAATGGGTCCCAAAATTAAAGAAATGATAAAAGGGAGCATAATATATTAAAAGAAACATTGGCTGACAATATTCCAAATTTGATTTAAACTATCAATCCATAGATCTAAGTTGTTCAAGTAAACCTAAAATAGGATCTATACAAAGAAAACAACTAGGCACATCATTGATAATGGTGAGTGACTCACCAGAAGCAATTGAGGCCACAAGATGATGAAATGACTTCTTAAAGTGATAAAAGAAAAATCTATCAACATCAAACTCTATCAAGCAAAAGTATCTTTTAAAATGAAGACAGATAAGTAAAAACTAATTTTTGCCAGCAAGAAATACCAAAGGAATTTCTCTGGGCTAAAGGAAAATGATGTCTGATGGAAATACGAATCTACAGGATCAAAGAAAGATTACTAGAAATTACAAATAGGTAGGTAAATATGATATGCTGATGGTTTGCCTTACCCAATTCCTTTAAAAAACAATTAACTATAGCAAATATAATAATACATTGTGATATTAATAATATAAAAAAGTAAGATATATGCCAATAAAAGCAGAATGACCAGAAAGGTAACACATGGAATTAAACTGTTGAAAGGTACTTACATTACACATAAAGTGGTACAATATTAAATTAGGATATTTAAGGATAAATTAAGGATGCATGTTGTAACTTGTTTAGTACCCGTAAAAAATAGACAATGGTATGCTTAAAAAACTAATAAGTGTGATAAAATGGAACACTAAAACTACTCAGTTAATTTAAAAGAAGACAGGAGCAATAAAGAAACAAAGGACAGAGGGGAATAACAGAAAGCAAATGCCAAGATGTAAGACTTAAAACCAGCTAAATTGATAATTATATTAAATATAAATAGACTAAACATCACAACTAAAAAGCAGAGATTTTCAGACCTGATTAAAAAAAGCAAGACTGAACTATATGCAATTTACAATAAATGCATTTTAAATATAAAGACGCAGGAGTCAAAAGCAAAAAGATGAAAAATGATATAATATACAAACACTAAGTATAAGAAAACTGGTGTGGCTATAATACTATAAAACAAACTAGACCTTGAGAAAGGAGAAAGCGAGAGGGTCATTTCATAATGATAAAAAAAATCAATTCATAAAGAAGATATAATGACCATAAATGTATATGAACCTAATAACAGAGCTTCAAAATCCCAGAAACAAAAATTCCCAGAACTGAAGGGAGAAACTAACAAATCCACAATTAAACTTCGATATTTTAATGTTTCACTGTCAATAGTTGTAGAACAACTAGACATAAAAACTCAAGAATAGAGAATATTTGAACATCAATCAAACTTCAATAATTGTAGAACAACTAGACATAAAAACTCAAGAATGGAGAATATATGAACATCAATCAACCTGACCTATTGACATTTATAAAACACCACAACCAACTAGAACATTCTTTTTAAGTGCTCATGTAATAGGGCTCACTTTCACCAAATTAGAACACATGGTAGGCCACAAACATATCTCAGTAAATTGCAGTGGAATGAAACCCTACAGGCTATATTCTCTGACCACAATGGAATAGAGTTATAAATTTTAAAAAATCTAAAAAGCCTCCAAATATTTTCAAATTAAGCAACACATTTTTAAATAACCTATAGGTCAAAGAAGAAATCACAAGGGAAATTAGGAGGTATTCCCTACCAAATGGTAATTAAAACACAATGCCCCAAAATTTGTGGGATTCAGTAAAATCAATTAGAAGGAAACTTATTGTTTTAAATGTTTAAACATTTCTTAATTAAAATGTTTTAATTAAGAAAATCTGGCCAGGTGTGGTGGCTCACACCTGTAATCCTAGCACTCTGGGAGGCCAGCGGATTGCTTGAGCTCAGGAGTTCAAGACTGGCCTGAGCAAGAGCAAGACCCCATCTCTACTAAAAATTAGAAAGAAATTAGCTGGACAACTAAAAATATATATATAAAAAATTAGCTGGGCATAGTGGCACATGCCTGTAGTCCCAGCTACTTGGGAGGCTGGGGCGGTAGGATCACTTGAGCCCAGGAGTTTGAGATTGCTGTGAGCTAGACTGATGCCATGGCACTCTAGCCTGGGCAACAGAGTGAGACTCTGTCTCAAAAAAAAAAAAATGTTTTAATTAAGAAAATAATAAATTCAAACTTTCACTTGAAGAAGCTAGAAAAATAAGAGCAAACCGAATCCAAATTAGTAGAAAAGAAATTAAAAAGACAAAAGCAGAAATAAATTAAATAGAAAAAAAACAACAAAGCTAAAAATTGGTACATGAAAAGATTAATAAATTGACAAACTTCATAAGACTGATAAGGAAAAAAGAGAGAAAACAAAAATAGCCAATATTAGAAATGAAGAAGAATATAGCACTTTCTATAGATACCGCAGAAAACGAAAGGGTAATAAGGGGATATTATGAACAACTTATACTATTTGACAACTCAAGCAAATGAACAAACTTGAAAAACACAACCTTGCCAAATGCTGCAAAAAGTAATCAATAATCTGAGTAGGCCTGACATCTATTCAAGAAATTGTGTAAATAAAACCTTCTTCATAAATCTCAGGCTACAGTTGGCATCACTCATGAATATTGTCAAATATTTAAAGAAAAATTAATAACCATGTTAAATTTTTGAAAATAGAGAACATTTTCCACCTAATTGTATGTGACTAGCATAATTTTGATTCCATAACTTGACAAGAAAATAATATTCAGAACAATATCCCTCACAAACATAGAAAGTATCAGAAGTTGTATATACAAATATATTAATGTTATTAATCTCACAATACATCATGTGGGATTCAACACAGAAATGCAAGATTAATACAATATTTTCAAAAGTCAACTAATGTAACTCATTACATTAACAGAAGAAAGAAGAAATATACTCTCTCCATCAATGCATAACATGCATTTCACAAAAATTCATTCTCATTAATAAGGAAAAAATATTCCTGTATAACAGATATGAAAAAGAACTCTCAATCTAATAAAGCATATATATAAAAACTATAGTTACCATATTTAATGATGAAATATTATATATATACTTTTCTTGAGATTCAGAACTTCACAAGAGTATTCACTCCCCTCCTAACTAGTATCATAAGGCAAGAAAAATAAATATAAGGTGAATATTGGAAAAGAAGTGGTAAAACTGATGTTATTTGCAGCTTACATGACTGTGCACATACTCCTAAGAAATGTGCATATATATTATATAAATATAATATATATAATATAAATGTAATATATATTTGAACTTATAAGTAAATATAGCAGGTCTTGGAATGCAAAGTCAATATACACAGACCATATTTTTTATACATTAGCAGTAAACATTTCAAAAATGAAATTAGAAAAGTATACTACTTAAAATAGCATCAAAACACAAGGAAAAAAACTACTTAGAGAAAAATTTGACTAAAAATGTACAATACCTCTATACTGAAAACTACAAAATACTACAAAATTAAATTAAAGAAGGCCTAAATAAATGGAGAGATATACCATACCCGTGGATTGGAAAACCCTGAATTCTTAAGATGGGGAGTCATCTCAGATTGATTTATAGAACCAGTGCAATCCCAATTAAAATACCAGCAGAATTTTGTAAAAATGTGCAAGTTTTTTCAAATATATAAAAATACAAAAGATCTAGGATAGACAAAACACTCTTGTAAAAGAAAAGAAAAGTTAGAGAACTTACAATCTGATTTAACAATTTACTATAAACCTATAGTGATTAAGGCAGTGTGTTATTGGTGCAAAGATAGACAAATAGATCAATGGAACAGAATATAGAATCCAGAAATAGATCCACATATATATGGTTAATAGATTTTCTATAAAGGTATGACAAATTGAGCGACGCTGTGAAAAGACACGAGTGAGGAGTCGGGATTTGGTCGAGATCCTCGACGTATTTGTGCAGAATGTCATCAGATAGGGAGAAATACTCACTTCCAGTTATGCAAAATGAGTCTGATCGAGGCAGTTCTCTCTCTTCAGATCTTCAGGAAGATTATGAAGAACTACTTCGTTACGCTATAGTGACTCCAAATATTGAATCCAGTGGTTCCCAGTCATCTCATTCTAAGGGAGAAGTGGCACCAGATGTTAGAATTCCTACTGCAATTGATGATATTCTTCATAGTCAAGGGGATAACCCTTTAAGAGAAACTCCAATGGAAGTTGGAAAAGGATGTGATTTCAATATTTCAAGTCATTCAAAGACAGATGGGTCATCACCAGTGTTATCACCAAAGAAGCCTTCTCACCCAGTCATGGATTTTTTCAGTTCACATCTTTTCCTTAACTCTTCCTCACCAGCAACTAACTCTAGTCATACAGATGGCCATGAAATAATTATGAGCTATTATCTTGTTTCTGATGAAAGCCTTCAGAAGATGGAAAATGTACTTGATCTTTGGAGCTGAGATCTTAAGACAAATATCATATCTAAACTAAGTAAATGGAAACTTAATTTTATTGACTGGCACCGAATGGAAATGAAAAAAGAGGAAGAAAAACATGCAGCACATTCAAAACAACTGTGAAAACAGATCAACAAATTCAAGGAGCTGCAGAAAGCCTTTGAAATCTCCATTGGGAGAAAAGATGAGGTGATTTCTAGCTTGTCTCATGCCATAGGCAAGCAGAAGGAAAAGACAGAGTTGATGAGAACATTCTTCCACTGGCGAATTGGCCATGTCGTATCCAGACAGGATGTTTATGAAGGTAAACTAGCTGACCAGTACTTCCAGAGAACTTTACTGAAGAAAGTCTGGAAAGGCTGGCACTCCATAGTACAAAAGCAGTGGAAAGATGTAGTGGAACCAGCTTGTCAAGCAAGAGCTGAAGAAGTTTGTGTCCAGATTTCCAACGATTATGAAACCAAAGTTGCTAAGTTAACTGGAGCTTTGGAAAATGCAAAAGCTGAAATTCAAAGAATGCAACATAAAAAAGAACACTTTGAAGATTACATGAAAAAAGCTTTCATAGGGGGTGTATGTGCATTAAATCTTGAAGCCATGACTATATTTCAAAACAGAAATGATACAGGAATAGACTCAATAAATAATAAAAAGGAAGAATATGGTCCCAGTGTACAAGGAAAAGAACATCCTGTTCCTTTGGATCCTTCGGCTCCCCAGATACCTGTACCAGTTGCATCTCCACTGCTGCCATCCCCACCTGCAGTGGCCAGTGCGAACACCATTCCCTCTGCTGCTTCCATGGCTTCTGCTGGGGCTGCTTCCGTGTCTTCTGTTCACATTCCCGGTTCTCTTCTTGGTGCAGGATCTGCAGCTAGTGCTGCACCAGAAGAAATGTACGTGCCAAGAGTTGTAACTTCTGCACAACAGAAAGCTGGAAGAACGATTACAGCGCGGATCACAGGGAGATGTGATTTTGCTCCAAAAAACAGAATTATTAGCAGTTTAGCTATTATGGGAGTTTCTCCTCCCATGAGCTCAGTCATTGTGGAAAAACATCATCCAGTCACAATGCAAACCATTCCTCAAGCAACTGTGGCAAAATATCCCCGGACCTTTCATCCTGAAAGTAGTACCTCAGCTTCCAGATCACTTGGAACCAGATCACCTCACAGTCTTTCACGAGTGGTTCATTCCATAAAAGTGGTTGACTAAAGTGAATGTGTTCATAGTGAGGTCTTTTAATTCCTCTGGTTTTACCAAGAGTTAGAAGTCTTTAGTTTTTAACTTTTCCATATTCTTAGAACATCATGTATACATCAAGTTAATCTATTCAAAATTACAAGAGACTTTTCCAAGCTCTACTATCTTTTGTAATTATATGTAGAAATTATTTTAATGTTATTTTTTATTTAAGCAATTAAATAAAACTTTTTTAAATTAAAAAAGGTATGGAAAATCAATGGGGAGAAGCAATTTAATGGGTAAAAAAATAATTATTTTTAATAAATGATGTTGAAACAATTAGACCTATGTGTAGGAAAATAATTTTATTGCTACCTTATAAAAATATGAACTCCTGGTGAATCATAAATATAAGAACTAAGATATATAATTCTAGAAAAAATATATCTTTACAACTATAGTATAGAATGATTTCTTAGAGAAAACACTAAGCATGAAAGTTATGATGGACTTCATCATAACTAAATATTTGAGCTCATCAAAAGACACTATTACTAACTGAAAGAGCAAGCCACAGAGTGGGAGAAAATATTCACAACATATATATCTGACAAAGAAATCATATCTCAAATATATAAAAACTTTGTAAGTTTTCATAAAAATTCTAAGAATCCAATAAAAATGAGCAAAAGACTTGAACAGACACTTGACAAAGATATATAAAATAGCTAAAAATCACATAAAAGGTAATCAACCCTATTGTTCATCAAGAAATTAAAAATTGTAAGCCTTTTATCCCCATGGTGCACAAGCTGATCACTTGCGGATCATGTGTTGCCCTTTAAAATGATTGGTTCCCTGCTGTTGCCCTTTAAAATGATTGGTTCCCTGCTGTTGCCCTTTAAAATGATTGGTTCCCCACTGTTGCCCTTTAAAATGATTGGCAGGTTGGTTGCTCGCGGGCAGCAAGCCATTCCTTCCCCTGATTGGGCATTCAAGCCTTGCATTTTATTTCATCCCATGAAGCTCCACGCAGCAGTGTAGAAGCAGAAGTGTGCTGTTAGCTGATTGCCCCACCCTGAGCGCAGTTCCCTGCTATCTTCAACCTCCCGACCAGCAGGAAAGTTCCTCTGCCCCACAGTACTAGACATCCTAGCTCATGCAATAAGAGAGGGAAGCAAAATAAAAAATATAAGATTGAAAAGGAAGAAATAAATATGTTATTATTCAGAGATAAGATATATACATACAAGATACAAAATATTCTGTAAATACTACAAATAAGTAAATTTAGCAAGATCACTAAATTTAAGGTCAATACATAAAAATCTATTACATTTCTATATACCAGTAATAAACAATTAGAAAATGAAATTTTATGCAAATATTATTTATAATGGCACCAAAAAAAAACCCTAAGAATAAATCTAATGAAAGATGCACAAGACATCTACCCTGAAAACTATAAATCACAGTTGAGACAAATTAATTAAAACTTAAAAGGAAGAGAGATACTGTCTCCATAGATTGAAAAAGACTCAATATTATAAAGATGTCAAGTCTCCCAAAACTGATTTATAAATTGAATTCATTCCTTTCAAACTCAGTGGATTATTTTTGTCAAATGGATAAGCTGATTCTAAATTTTATACTGAAATGCACCCAAAATAGCCAGAATAATCTTGAATAAAAACAAATCTGGAGTGCTTACACTACAAGATATCAAGAGCAGCAATACAGATATACAGAGCAGATATACAGAGCAGCAATAATAACACAGTAAGTTATTAAGAGGATAGTCACATAGACCATGGAATAGGGAAGAGAGCAGAGAGTTCGGAATCACATTTCCAGTCACCTCATCCACAAGAAAAGCACAACTGCAATTCAGTACACAAAGGGGCAGAAAAATGCTCTTTGCTGTTTGTTTTCTAGTGTCTAAAACCACAGGCGATGGCTCAACAGAATTGTCTGGACAAGGGTCACAAGATCATAGTTACTGGAGATAAGGTCGACTGAAACCACCAGTTACAGTTAAACAATAATAGCCTGAAGCCACAACCTGTGGTACTGGTCAGGTCACACCCAAACCCCACTTTTTAAGAAGCCCTGTATTTCTGCTTGAAGTCAGAAAGGCAGTCTTTGAGATGCTAGGCCACTGCCCTCCTAATTTGCCGGCAAATTGATAAAGCTCTCTTTCATTTTCCTCAAACCACTTGTCCTTGTTCTTCATTCTCACTGATATAGCCTCGGGGACAAGTACTGAACTTTTGGTGCCAAATGGTAGAAATTACGGTCTTTTCGATAAATGGTCTGGGCCTGTTGGCTATCCCATAGAGAAAAAATAAAACAAAACAAGAAACCTGAATCTTACCTCACACCATACACAAAAAATAATTTGAGATAGATTATATACCTAAATGTATATAATTAATTATATACCTAAATGAATGTATATAATTATATACCTAAATGAAATGCCATTTCGGTGACAAAAGTTATCAAGATCTGATAAGATTTTGAAATTGAAAGTCCCATTTTTAGGCCACTGTGATCCATTGTCTAATTTATACGTTGGCCAGGCGGTGTTACAATAGAAAATGAGTCGCTTGAGCTGAATATCAGACTTGAGGCCCAGGGCTGCAAGATTGGCTAAGAGACAGCCCAGAGGCGTGTTAGATTTGATTTTGGAGGGTTGACTGCCCATGGTGTCCTAGTCCAATGAGGGAAGAACAAGATTGGGGAGCCGGCATCCCAGGTCACTGATCAGGCCTAGGAGAGAAGGCTCTGAGCCTTGGAAAGGACCAACTGAGTGGATCAGGCATCCCTGAGGTACTCAGGCCTTAAGAATCCTTAGGGATGGAAGGACTGACTGAGGGGCTCAGGTCCCTGAGACACCTGAGTGTCTTATGGTAGAGGATCTCTGACTTGGGCTATGGACAGAGACCCTAGAATGGACTCATTGGGCTAGGAACACAAGGGCAGAGGGACTTGCCCAGGCCAATTGGTCCACTGGCATCCGGTGGAGGTCCCAGTCTGAGGTCAGGAAGACACCAGAGGGGATGACGCAACCATGGCCCTGTGGCAGACCAGCGCAGCCAAGACTCCCCTCCTGGTTTCCGCACCAAATGTAAGGTTTCTCAGTGGCGGCGAAAATAAAAGACAGAGAGAGAGAAAGGGAGCAAAGGGAGAGTAGGAAACAAAGCACGTGGCTTTATTATACACTCCTGGACAAGGTTCTGGGGCCCCAAGAGAACCTTGGGCGGGGCTAGGGACTCGTGGCTGGAAGAGCTGGGGATTTTCTATTGTGATCTTGGATAGTCATTGAGAAATAGGAGGGGCTGGCGGTATTTGTGGAATCCAGAAGCCCAAACGTTCTCATCCGGGTGGACATCTGGGTGTGGTTCCTCTAAGTGGGGCCTGGCAGTTTTGTCCTTGGTGGGTCTGATCTCATGAGCCTTTTCTTTTTTGATCTAGGGAAGGGAGGCGATTGCCACCAGCCTTACAACCACCACCTGAAGACCAAATGAAGTTAGGGCTGAGTGGATATTTTAAGTAATCTGAGTACAGGAAAGTGGTGGGCCAATTTGAGTTTTTGCCTGAGGTTTGGCAAGTTTAAAAGAATCTATGCAGCATCTGACAGTCCATAATTGATGTTCTGAATGACATTTAGTTTCTATAAACTAATTTAATGTTGTTACTTTGAATTTATTGACTGGTAGGAGCTGTGCAATAGAGAAAGCAGAGGTCTGATGAGGAAATTAGAAGGAGTTTATTTTTCAAAGTGAGATATACATTTTTTTTTCTTGTTTTTTTGAGACAGAGTCTCACTCTTGCCCTGGCTGGAGTGCCGTGTCATTAGCCTAGCTCACAGAAATCTCAAACTCCTGGGCTCAAGCAATCCTTCTGCCTCAGCCTCCCGAGTAGCTGGGACTACAGTCATGTGCCACCATGCCTGGATAATTTTTTCTAAATATTTTTAGTTGTCCAGCTAATTTCTTTCTATTTTTAGTAGAGACGGCATCTTGCTCTTGCTCAGGCTGGTCTCAAACTCCTAAACTCAAACGATCAACCTGCCTCGGCCTCCCAGAGTGCTGAGATTACAGGCGTGAGCCACCGCACCGGGCCAATATATAAATTTTATCTTTCTTCTCCATTATAAAATATTAAATAGTATCTCATTTTCTTGCTCATGCTTTTGGTGCAAGTGGATTGTCTAAGGGGGGAGCACAAAGAGATATGAGTTTATGTCAAGGTGATGAGGATAAAAATAAGGACCATCATGAGGATAACTGGATATTTGGCTTACACTTAAAGAGTGCTTATTGACTATGCAAAATAGTCAGGACTCTGCTGAGCAGCAGGGTGTTGGAGGGTGGCGTTGGGTGAGTCAGTGTCACTGGCTGGGCAAACATTTGTAAGAAGTAAACAAATGTGTTGATGGTCAAGCTGCTTATCACCTGTGAGTGCTTCCAGTGAACCGGATCTGGCTCCCCACCCTTACTCTAGCATCTGGCACAGCTGAAGGCAAGACAAACAAACACTCCTTTTAAATAGAAACATTTAAAAGTACACAATTTGAGACTAGGCTATAGTTATCTTCCTCATATTGAAGACAAAGGCAATAATGAAACAATTTTAGGTCAAGGGGTCAAAGACCTGGGATAAACCACATCTGATAAGTTGGGAATATGTGTGCCTATATTTTCATATATATAGTGGTATAGAAAGACATCTCCACAAGCAACACTTCCCAAAGAGACAACTCTAAGGGAGATGTGCAGCAATGGGCTCGTTTAAGAGTTCTGTTTTCATCTTGATTCTTCACCTTCTCAAAGGGGCCTTGAGCAATTCACTCATTCAGCTGAACAATAACGGCTATGAGGGCATTGTCATTGCAATTGACCCAAGTGTGCCAGAAGATGAAACACTTATTCAACAAATAAAGGTAAGTTCAAAATGGTAATCGTCCATGCTTTTTTTTAATTGAAAATATTGAGATAGAGAGAACACAATTCTCTCATTCCAGCTGCATGACACTGGTAAGTTATTTTTGTGTCCGAGTGTCAATTTCTTCATCTGTCAAATGGAAATAATAATACTTTAATCATTAGGATTCTTGTGAGGGATGAGATAATAAATGCGACATGAGGCCGGGCGCGGTGGCTCACGCCTGTAATCCTAGCTCTTGGGAGGCCGAGGCGGGCGGATTGCTCAAGGTCAGGAGTTCAAAACCAGCCTGAGCAAGAGCGAGACCCCGTCTCTACTATAAATAGAAAGAAATTAATTGGCCAACTGATATATATATAAAAAATTAGCCGGGCATGGTGGCGCATGCCTGTAGTCCCAGCTACTCGGGAGGCTGAGGCAGAAGGATTGTTTGAGCCCAGGAGTTTGAGGTTGCTGTGAGCTAGGCTGATGCCACGGCACTCACTCTAGCCTGGACAACAAAGTGAGACTCTGTCTCAAAAAAAATAAATAAAATAAATAAATAAATAAATAAATAAATAAATAAATAAATGCGACATGCATAACTCAGAGTTTGCTGCTGAGGATTATTTCACTGAAAATTATTCAGTTTTACAGTAAGCCTGAGTCAACTACATTTGGCAGATATTGTGAGATGCACAGATGTCAATTCCTTGCCTGATTTTACTATCGGCACATCTCAGACTCTCTTTTATTCTCCTAATTCTAAGCCCCTTCTTTCCTCATGATCCTTAATAGGAGCCCAGGATGCAAATCTCTGATTTAAGAACAACTCTGACCCTACTGATGGAAGCAAACCCTGCATTTTGTCAGCTCCAATTCAATCCTATTAGGGATCTCTTGTTACCTCTTCTGTGGGAGAAGGGAAGGCAAGAAGACTTCCTGTCCTGGCAGAGGCATCTAAAGTGTAGTCAGGTGGAAGGATTAGAGAAGGTCTTGTACAATAGCAGACAGCTAAAAATAAGAGGAGTGCCTTATAAAAGACGCCCCTGGAATCTGGCTGTAGCATATAGAGAGGCAGTATTGTGTAATGAGTAAGAGTACCAATTTGGAAAATGCGACTAATAAGTATCCCCTTCATAGGAGTTTGTGAAGATCAAATTTAAAAATGCATGAAGATAAGGGGAAGCTGGGTGAGAGTATATAAGATACAATTTTTTGCATGTCTTCCCTTAGTCTAAAATGATCTCAAAACTTAAAAAAAATCCTTTAAAAATGCATGCATAATGCCTGGTAGACAGTGAGAGCTCAATAAATGGTGGATATAATCAACAGTCACCAGTCCTCTTTTGATCTCTCTGGATGGAAAGTTAATACTACAAGGGCCCAGAAGTCCTCCCCAAAGATTCTTTGCTTGAAGCAAAGGCAAACGCAGCAAAACCACACGATTAGGAGAAAAAAAACATCTCTCCCTGCCAGGAGTTTGTGGCTAGAGAATTCCAGCAGGAGAGGATGAGGAATGGAGGGGAGGGTGCCACCCACAATAAAGCTTACCTATTTAACTCGACTACCAGACTGTCTTTGGTAAAAGGGAAATTCAGACCTTTTAAAATCTCTCAATAATCAAAAACCTTGAGTGAGTTTTTGATTATCTCTAAATTTGGAAGTGGCATCAGCAAAAATGTGACCAGTGGGTTTCTGTCTCTGGCTAAACAGTGGGGTTCAGCAACATGCTGAAAGAGAACATAGATGCCTTATGTCTAATGGCAATGGTAATTTCTATCTACGGTATATGATGCTTAGAGCTTTGCAAAGCGCTTTCACCTCATTTGTCTCTGGGAGTTTTCCTCCTGCGATATGTACTTCCCCCTCAATTATTACATCAGCTTTCTAGTATGAGTTGTAAATAAATTGGGTGTGAGATAAGTTGGCTTCCACCACTTTCTTCTCAGCAACGAGAACATTTAAAGAGTTGAGTGTAATAGAATGCTCAAATTCCCTGAGTAGTTAATAAAAGTGAATTCCTCCCTATTTGCTGTTTCAGATCTGCAGAGTGGAAGGAATTCACTGTGGTCTTGGCCACCTTTCCTAGTTATCCCTCACTCTGCTCCAACAACCTTCTGTCTGAGAGGAGACTCTCCCACTGGTGCCCCTGTGGGGAAAGAAGCCCCTGAGTCAGCTTTTTAAATATTTATTCTACTTTAGCAGGACAGTTGCCAACATTTCCCCACCTATGAGACTGGTTGAATGGCAGTGCAGCAGTTCCATCCACTGCACTCTTGCTGCTATTAGTCATGTAAGCAATGAGAGTACACTTAACAGGAGGAAGGGAGAGTTGGGGAGAAGTGTTCACTCTCTCTCTCTCTCTCTCTTCTCTCTCACACACACACACACACATACACACACATACACGCACGCACACAAACTCACGCACGCACATTCACGCACGCACAAGAAGATATACAATGAAAATATTTTAGAGTCTCCTCAATGCACCAATGCACAGGAGCCCAGGCACTGCCTGTCTTGGCACTGCTATACCAGTTTGCCACTTACCCAAATGACTTCATTCATTCATTCATTTGTTCATTCCTTTAACAAATACATACAGAGCACCTACATTATGTCAGGTAGTAGGAGTCCAGTGGTGAACAATATACTATCCCTGTCCTTAAGGAATTTCTAGCCCATCCTATAGGTGGTCAATCTTTCTCAGTCTGAGAGTTTAAATGTCTATTTGGATTTGGATATGAGGTTACCTTCTCAAAATCTGCAACAGATGCCAAAACAATGATATCTTAGTATTGTTTCTATTAGAACATGGAAGATGAGCATTTCATGCTGCTTATTCTTCCTTGGAAACATTGAAAATTCACATTTCACAAATCAAGTTGTAATATAATACTCCAGCATATGAAGTTTTAAACACACTTTTCAACTTTTTGGTGATCTTGACTCACCAAAATGACACAAAGTGTTAAACTCTTCTAGTGATTGTTAAAAATCTAGAGTTTTGGAAGAGAAAAATGCAAATTATTAAGAACATTTTTTTAAAAAAAGCTAGGCTATTTGAAAGGGGGAAATAGAGGCTCAGAGAGATAAAACAAATTCCCCAAGTTCATCCCATTTAGGAAGTGGCAGAGCAGGATTTACTCCTTCACCAGTGTCCAAGTACTTTCCTATAAAATGCTGAAGTTTCTTCTCCTAAGGCCAACCCCACTAGGCACTGGAGTTTAGTCACTCTGGTCTGTTCCAGCAAGGACTTTGCTTTTGCAATTATCCCTTTTTGCTTTTGCATTATCAGTTTTTTTTCCCATGAGCATAGAAATATAACAGTTCCCATTAAAATAAACAAGCAAACAAAACTTTCTTGTCCTGAAGTCCTCTTCTAGCTGTTGCCTCATTTCTCCATCCTCCTTTAATTTATAGAGAAACTTCTTGACTTGTTCGTCTGCATTCACAGTTTGCACTTCCTTGCCTCCCACTCCCTTGAATCTACTCTTATGGAGCTATTGTCTCCATTCTGCTAAAATGGCTCACCCATGTTGCCAAATCCTTTGATTAGTTCTTAGCCGTCATATGTAGTGACTGTTCAGCAGTGTTTGACCCCAATGGCCATGCCGTCCTCCCTACAACACTCTCATCCCACCCATGGCTTTTGATTTCCTTCACAGGCACTGACTGTTCTTTCCGAGGCTTTTTCTTTTCCCACATCTAATTTCAGCTCCTCTCCCCCAGGGTCGGTCTTCAACCCTCTTCTTTCCTCTCACATGGGAGGCCAGTGGCTTTCAGTTCTAACAGACTCAATGCCCCTTTTCTAGTAACAATATCTTCTGACACTCTCTCTACTACCTTGTCCTAATGTATCTCAGGGGATCTGCAGAGCCATGTATAATTTATCACTGTAACTCTTTCATTTTAGTTCTGATTCTTAGTTTCTCCTCCCAGGTTTATTGATCCTCAAAGGATCAAATGAAATGAAACTAATAACCAATTATTTTTTTAGCTAACATTGAATAAGCACTTACATTGTTCCTAAGTAAACATTATTCCTAGTGCATCTCATGTTTGACCTTTTTTGTGCTTCACCACAACCCTATCAGTGAATCACTGTAATATTTTCCATTTTATAAATGAGGAAACTGAGGTTCGGAATCAGATTGCCTACTGTCCCACAACAAGTGGTAAAGCCAGGACTAGTGTCTACCTCTAGAGTTTGCATTATTAACCATTACTCTGTGGAGCTGAGTATGTAGTAAATGCTCAAAAAAGTTTAGCTATTATTATTACAAAGTATTTCCACATTGCCTCTTCCCATCTTGATAAATAACTAGTCTTTGAAATGTGAAACACAGATGTAAATTTGAATGGTAATTTAATCTATTTTCAGTCATAATTGTTATGCATGTTTTTTCTTCCCAGGACATGGTGACTCAGGCATCTCCATACCTGTTTGAAGCTACAGGAAAACGATTTTATTTCAAAAATGTTGCCATTTTGATTCCTGAAAAGTGGAAGACAGAACCTGACTATGTGAGACCAAAACTTGAGACCTACAAAAATGTGAGCATATCAAGTTCTTTCAAATTCAGGAACCCAGATTTTTTAAATCAAAATACTCTAGCATCAAATGCAATTGCTTTAACATTAATAAGGTTAATTCATTTGCTGAAATTTTGTGATGATAAAAAACTTTTTCTTAAAATTCAGGCTGATGTTGTGGTTGCTGAACCTAATCCTCCAGGTAATGATGAGCCCTACACTGAGCAGATGGGCAAGTGTGGAGAAAAGGGGGAAAGAATTTATTTCACTCCTGACTTCTTAGCAGGAAAAAAGTTGCTTCAATATGGACCACAAGGTATAAAATATTCTAGTATATTTCTCATAAAATTTAACTATTTTATGTTAAAAATGGATCAACAATAGCATTATCTTTGTGAATTAGTACATATAATCCAAATAAACTATTAGAAATAAACTAATGTAGCATTTTTTACTTAGAATATGCATTTTATTTAGAATTTCTAGATAGAATATCTCAGTTAGAAATTTAACTTCATATCTTACATTCCTGTGTAAATATAGTATTTTCAAATTTTTATGTTACTATAGTACCATGCTATAACTGCAAAATCGTTTAATATATATTAAGTTTCTATGGATTTGTAATGGGACTCAACTGAATGAATTAAAACTCCTGCCTGCAATTCATGTGGTAGCAACCAGATGGCGAATATGTACAGTGTATTCAGATTTGTATGCTCATTATAAACGGATCTTGTTGAAATGCAGGTTCTGATTCAGTAGGTGTGAGATGGGACTCAAGAATCTGCATTCTTCCAGTGTGGAATGATGGACAGTGGTGACTCAAAGGGGCAGTGGGAGGAGAATAGATAATGGTAGGCTGCTTAGTGGGTACAGTGATGTATGGACTGAAGGTTCTGACTTCGCCACAATGCAATGTATCAATGTAGCAAATTACACTTGTACCCCATGAATATATACAAATAAAAATAAATGGGGAAAAAAGATTCTGCTTTTTATCAAGCTCCCAGGTGATGTTGATGCCACACTTTGAGTAATGAATATCCTTGCAATTCCACTCTCAAAAACTATGTAACTAAAGAAAAAGGTCTAGTCTTCCTTCACAAAATAAACTCTATCATTTCTATATGAGCTATATATAGGAAGGAAATATTGAAAACAATGGTGCATATATAAAATGTGCTTTCCGAGTATAATCAAATGTGATTAGTTGCTAAATAGTATTAGAATTCTTTTTTTTTTTTTTTTTTTTTTGAGACAGAGTCTCACTTTGTTACCCAGGCTAGAGTGAGTGCCATGGCGTCAGCCTAGCTCACAGCAACCTCAAACTCCTGGCTCAAGCGATTCTGCTGCCTCAGCCTCCCGAGTAGCTGGGACTACAGGCATGCACCACCATGCCCGGCTAATTTTTTCTATATATATTAGTTGGCCAATTAATTTCTTTCTGTTTATAGTAGAGACGAGGTCTCACTCTTGCTCAGGCTGGTTTGGAACTCCTGACCTTGAGCAATCCGCCCGCCTCGGCCTCCCAGAGAGCTAGGATTACAGGCGTGAGCCACCGCGCCCGGCCGTATTAGAATTCTTTATCTCAGAAAAAGATTTGGATCCTCCAGAACCAGCTTGATTTTCTTTATTTAAACATATAAGACAGAGAAAACAAGCAAACAAAAGAGCTCTATCATCTCCATGCCCCATACCCAAATACAACCAGAGAGCAATTAAAAACCTTATCAGAAAGAGATGTCAAACCTACCTCTTTGTTATTATGTAACACTCCATTTCACCTTCATAATAGAAAGAGAAAATTCCCAATGTTTGGCTCAATAAATATGTGCTGAATTGATTTACCTAACTGCCCTGACTAGAGTGCCATGGCATCAGCCTAGCTCACAGCAACCTCAAACTCCTGAGCTCAAGCAATCCTTCTGCCTCAGCCTCCCAAGTAGCTTGGACTACAGGCATGTGCTACCATGCCCGGCTAATTTTTTCTATATATTTTTAGTTGTCTGGCTTATTTCTTTCTATTTTTTTTAGTAGAGATGGGGGTCTCACTCTTGCTCAGGCTGGTCTCGAACTCCTGACCTTGAGCAATCTGCCCACCCCCTCAGCCTCCCAGAGTGCTAGGATTACAGGCATGAGCCACCGTGCCTGGCCCCTCCTAATCTTTCCTTGGCTTTAAGAGACCATCAGTTGTTTTCTCAGAATCTACAGAATAAAGTCAAATCCCTAGTTTGGGATATTAGAGTTTCTTTAGTAAGCCACCCTTCATATAACCCTCCAAATTCAGCCTATCTTGGAATTCACATTCCAGAAAAACTAAGTACATAGTTACTAAAATGTCATCCTAATTTAACAAATATCACTGAGTGTCTGTTAAGTTCTAGACACTATATGTCCAGATATGACAATGAAGAAGTCATATCATCTGTCCTCATGGACACAAGTGTCTAGTGTGGGATACTGGCAAGTAAGCAGCAATGACAATTTAACATGACAGGTACCTGATGGGAAATAATCAAAGTACAAAGGAGTACCTGGCCTAGTCTGAGCATGACAGGGGAAGCTTCTAGGTGAATAAAAGCTTGATTTTGAAAGACCGAATAGGAGTTATCCAAGCAGAGATAGGGAGAAGGTATTTCAAACAAGGGAAAAATATGTAAAAAGGGCCAGAGATGAGCAAGAATGTGGTGTGGACTAGAAAGTAAAGGATTTCAGGAATTCATCACGATTATAGGGTTTTGGAAGTGGGTAGAGAACAGCAAGAAATAAGGCTGCAGGAAGGAGCAGAGCCTGAATCATCAGGGACCTTGTACATCAGGTTGAGGAGTTGGACTTAACCCTGAGCACCACACGGGAGCCCTTGAGGCTGGAGGCATGGAGGCCAGTCAGGTGGCTAGTGCAGCAAGTCAGGAGTAAGCGGCAATGAGACCGGAAAGACAAGAATGGATGAAAGCAAAAAGTCAGAGGCGCAGTTGGCAGGCCTTGAGTTTGATCAGATGTGAGCCATGAGGGAGAAGGAGGACCTATAGGGATGCTGGCCTGGCTGCTCTGTGAATGCCTCTGCTCGCACGGCGGCCTATGCTGACCTCCGTCATTACACTCGCACCGCTGTGCATTTTGGTTACCCGATCGTGCATGTTCTACGCTAGACCGTGGGCTATTGAGGGCAGAGCAGTTGTTTCATCTTCATATGAATAACTGCCTGTCACTTACAAGGTGCGCGATTAACATTTGATGAGCCAAAATAAGTATTTATATTTTACAGAAATGTACAGTTGTCATATTAGATCTTTCTATAGGAACTTAAGTCTTTTACTTTTCTAGAAGTTAACATAACAAAGCATATTAACCATCCTGAAGAATTGCTCTCTCCCAATGTGAGAAGGTAATTTTGCCATTCTTATTGTAATTAGATGTTTAAAATATTTTCTCACAGGTAGGGCATTTGTCCATGAATGGGCTCATCTACGATGGGGAGTATATAATGAATACAATAACGACCAGAAATTCTACTTATCCAATGGAAAAAACAAAGCAGTGAAGTATGTATATTTTGATTGAACTGTTCCTCAATTATTTTAAATTGAACTAATTTTTTCTTGATTACTTTAAAAATATCAGTCTCCTGTCTTATTTTCTATCTCTAATTCATTTTCTCTTAGTGCCTTTTTTCAGATTTTCACAAAACTACTGCTTTTGCTGACAAGTACTTCAATTAATTGAACTCTTCACTCTGCAGCTAGAAATCATTTGCCTCTTTTTTTTTTTTAAGCGTACCAACTATAATGAATCTAGAGGTGCTATGTTCAGTGTTTCCATCATCTATGCCAGAATCAGTGACATAGCAGACCTAATGGGGCTCTTCAGTGCCCTGAGGACAGAATGATATCTGTAGACTTTGTCAGTATAGATGGCCCGGGAGAGACTGTGGAACTTATCTGAAAAACAATACACATATTAAAACAAAACAAAAACTCCTGCCAGTTTGAATTAAACCCTGTGTGGTGTCAGTAGAAATCCAACCAAACACTTGGAAAGTACTCCTGGCTGCTATGGTCTTATGAGCACATTCTTGCAACCAACAGTTTCAGTGTGTGTAAACTGCCTTAGCACAAACATAAGCGATGGGGAACTTTCCAGTTTATTTTAAAGAGTTAGTGTAATTCAAACACTTTAAAGACTGACAGGTGGAATGAAAAATATTCTGTAGATTCAGCTCTCTAAAAAGATAGAGGCAAATATTTTAAATAAAAGGATAATAAACTACATCTGGCAGAATTAAGGGAACAGCAAACACACTAAGGCCAAGTAAGATGTCTTCCAGAAATCTAAAAATGTTGTAATATTAAGTAAGTAGTTAATATAGTACACCAAGCGAAGAAGAAAAAAAAATGATTATTCCAATAGATTCTCAAAAGAAACTTGATAAAATTGTACATTTATTTCTGAGTTAAAAGACAACAGCATCTTTTTAAAGAACAGAAGTTAGTACAACACCGTCTCCATTTCTGGTTCCACTCTTGCTTGCCTGATGGCCCTTTAAGGAGATGCAGTCAGCTTTGGTTCATTTATTGTCTTGACTTGATACAACTGTTTCAAAAGGGGCTGCACTTGGCCTTGGCTTCCCATTTCTCCCAAAGAGCATTACTGTTCTCCACTTTTCCCTTTCTTTATTATATTCAAATTCTGTTTGCTTGGTCCATTGCCATTATATTATCCCTTGTTGGATATCCTCGGGCATAAATAGACACTGAGTGCATTACTGCCTCTTAGAACCACGCGCAGTCTACCAGATTCCTTCAGCCTGTACACTCTGCACTGCATAGACCACAGCCCAGGGCCACTTCTCTGACATGATCATATGTCGGTTTGCCCTTTCAAATATCAGCCAAAGAGTATCATTCTAAATTTGACATATGCCTTTCCCATTCTCTTTTCTAAGCTCCTGCACAGTTAGACACTGTATATTCCCTTGAGAGAAAGACTGATTAGTACATATTCCTAGCTAGAGATATTCTAGAAATATATACATTTATAGCATGTTCTTCCTTCCACAGATAAGACAGGATGTCCTCTTTAAAAAGTTTATTATAATATATTATTATGTATTGCTCCTTATCTTCCAAACTTTTTAATTGTTTTCAGGGCTGAAAAGCAATCATGCTTTTCAAAAATGACAGCACTGCCCACAACAGATTACTTCCTTAATATGATACAGAACATCTATTGAAAGCCAATGGTCTAGTCATATTTAATAGGGAAACACTAGAGACATTCCCAGGAATAAGATGATGGCCACTATTGCCATAGTTGTAGAACCTTGTTTAGGGTGTTACAGCCAAGGCAAGAACACATGATACCGGGGAGGTAAAAAGAAGAGCTACTATTTGAAAGGAAGAGAGAAAATGGCTTTTACACAAATAATAAGGGGTCCACTTAGAAAATCCAAAGGAATAAATTGAAATTAAAATTAACAAGGGAAGTCAATAAGGTGACCAGATATAAAATAAATGTTCAAATTGCTTTTCCACACAGTAGCCAGTTAAAAAATATAATGGAAAAAAATGTTTCCTTCAAGATAGCAATTAAAGGTATGACAAAAGTAGGGAAAACTCTACAAAATGTGGAAGACATATTTGAAGAAAACTATAAAATCCTTCTAAAGGATTTAATAAAAAAAAAAACCCAAGATAAATTGAGAGACTTTCAATTCATGAAAGATGTAAATTCAACCAAAATTAATTATATAGGTTGTATGAAATTCTAGTTCAAAACTACATCCATTTTTGCCTCATTTAAAAAATCTTACAGTTCATTCAGTAGACAGCAGCTACAATCATTTTTGAAAAAATAGTAATAAAAGGGCTTTTACTTATCAAATTTAAATATACTATAAAACTCCATTAATTAAAATAATATGGACTAACATTTACATGTATAATTAATTTGCTATTTAGTGTAGATAGAGTTATAAATCTGTGAAGAAAGATAGGATTTCTTAAGATATCAGACAATTTTTAACTGTATGGGGAAAAAAATTAACAGACCCTTTTCCAACTGGATTGAATCATTAAAAATAAACAAAATCATAATGAAAATTAGATGAATATTTAAGAATGTCAAATCTCTATATAGCAAAGATCTTTCTACACATTCATGAATTGGAAAAAAAACTAAAAGAATGATAAATGTGGCCATATATAAATTAAAAGTTTTTTGACACACAAACCAAAATAAATGATATAAAAAGGTAAAAACCAGAAAAAGATATTTGCAAAAACTTTTTTAAAAAGGCTTCTAGAAGCTTAGTATTGTAACACAAAAAGCTTTTGAAAATAAATAAAATAATACCCTAATAGAAAAATGAGAATAAATAATTCACAAAAGAAGAAATAAAAATGGCCAATAATATATAAAAGTATTCTTACTAGTAACCAAAGAGATGCAAATTTGACAAAGGTTCATTTATTACCTAGTTAAGTCACTGGGATAAAAGCTCTCGAAGCTGGTTGTTAGAGGCATAAATTGGTGCAACTTTTCTGGAAAGCAATTTAGGTGACACATATCAAATCTCTAAAAAAATTTTTAGTTTTTGACCCAGTGGTTTCATGTTTCAAAATCCATTTTAAGAAAATGATGAAACAGCTGTATTAATAGACTTTAAAATGCTCAAGCTTTTGGATCTGATCATTTACTCTGAGAATCAATCATGTGGCAAACTTGAAAATGTATTCAAAATTGTATGTAAAATTTTGTTTATTCATTGATGTTTTATTTGTAGTACTGACAAGTTGGAAGGGAAAACTAAAATAATTAGGCTAAATTCATATTATAGTATCAAAAGGTATAAAATTATTAAAACCACATTTTGAAAAACTAGTAATATATTAGATTTTTTAATAGATTAAGTAGACTGATATTTTTTAAAGCAAGAAACAAAACTATATGTGCAATGTTATGTTGATACATAGAAAGAGAAGGAAATGCTTCAACATGCTGACAGCAGTTCATTTCTAATGTGAGACATGTTTTTTTTTTTCTTTTTTATACCTTTGGTTATTTTCCAAATTTTCTATAGTGTTCATATATTGTTTATATATTCATATATATAATTAAACAATAAGATATAGGGGGAAAGCATTTGATTTATAATAGCAACAAAACACATAATATAATGAAAAATTTTAAATACTTATGAGCATAAAAGAACTATACAAAACCATATGAAATAAACTAATTAGGAAAAACCCAAACAAACAGGAAATCTCAGTAAATCTTTTGGGGGAAACAAATGAGGGCTCCTGATTTTCTAGGAGTGAGGGGAATAGATCAGGAGGGACCTGAAGACTTTGGTCCGTATTAAAGCTAACAGCAGCCATAAACCAGACTTAGCTTTTCTACTGCATAAAAATAAATTCTGATATCATTTTGGAAGCTCCTTGGATACTTTCTGGCAAGTAGAAATGACTCCAATGAAAATTTAATAATTTTTCTATATCAGGGGATGTATTTGTTTCTTGGATTATGAGAGGAAATCATAGAAAGGCAATCTGTCAGAAACTGAGCATGGAGTCTGACCCTTTGGAATGATTACATCACCTAAACATCTAACCTTCATATATTTTCAGATGTTCAGCAGATATTGTTGGTAAGAATGTAGTAAATAAGTGTCAGGGAGGCAGCTGTGTCACCAAACCATGCAGACCCAACAAAGTAACAGGACTGTACGAGAAGGAATGTGAATTCTTACCCGAAAGCCAGCAGAGTGAGAAGGCTTCCATAATGTTTTCACAGAGTATTAATTCTGTAAGTACTTCGTTATTTTTTTTTTCCCTAGACTCATGAATTTAGTGAAGTTTTACCCCACGTGCTCCAAGGGAGAATCAAATGTTAGAGAAACCATCAGTGAGCAGTAGATTCTCTGTGAGACAAGCTGGGAGTATGAAATCAAGGATAGAGTCCTATCTTTTTCCCCTTCCCCTCCTCATGTCCATTCTTTCTTCTCCAACATCTTCTTCCTGCTACATTTTAGTTTAAGTGCTTAGAAGGACTGCAAATACCCTTAAAGGCATACAAACACACAAATTCTTACTTATATAACTTGGCTAATTATCCATATTAATGCTAAATATGTAGGACATTAATTTGACTGCTTTTAATGGGGAGTCCCTCTTATCTTTCAGTCTCTTGCATAAAATTATGTTTTTCTTTTAAAATGGAGGGTGAAACGACTTTCAAGATCCTGTCAATAATAATTTGGCATACATTTTTTAAATATGATGCACCATGCTTCACCAGACCCATCCTTCAGTTTGGCTTTGCATAGCCAGGTTTGGGAACCTCTGCCTGGAGTTTACATAAAAGTTTTTCAGGTTCCTTTCCTAAAAAGTAGCCATAACTGATAATGGAAACACTACCAAAAAGATGACCTAAAAATGCAAATAAATGGAAGAATAAGTGTTAAACACCTAGTGATTACTTTCTAAATTACTAGATTTCCACATATTTAAGATGTTTAATTGAATGATAATACTGTAGAGTCACTAAGAGGAGGAACTAGGTTATTCCTCCTGTGTATACTGTGCCTTTTTCTAATCCTTCCAAATGTTAGGCACATAAACTCTAGCAAATGTTGTAGCTATAAGATATAAGAAAGGGGTAAAACCAGCATTTACTGGCTGTGTTAGTATTGACCTTATTGCATATATGTAATTCTTACATAAGATTAATAACTATCGCCATTTTGTAGATTAAAAAACCCAAAGTGCAAAGAGGTTAGGGTTACTCAAAAAACAACAAACTTGTATTGAGTTTTTATTATGTGTCAGACACTGGGATAAATTTTAAGAAAGCAAAATTTAATAAGACAGGTTTCTGTCATAGGCACTTACAACAGTGCATCACAGTGTTAAAGGGACCTTATTAAAGTCTCTACAAGGGTACTGTGAAGCCACAAATGGTCGAGTGGGAATTCTTTGGGAGAAGAGTAGAAAATGAGAAAATATTTTGGAAGTGATCTTCTGGTTGAAACATGAAGGTAGAATTTACAATGCAGAAGACAGGGGAGGAGAGACTTCTTGATCAAGTGGGTATCATGAGCAAAGGCACAGAGATATAAAAGCCTGGCAAGTTTGGGAATTTATATGCTATAGTGGGGAAAATCAAACACTTGGAATGTACAGGCAGAATGAGGTTGGAGAGTGGAGCAAAAATCCAAATCATGGAGATTGCCGTTTGCTGAGTGAAGGAGTCTAGACTGTAGTGAGTGAGCAATCAAGAGCCATGAAACGATCTTAAGTAGAGGAGTAAGAGGGGATACTCCTCAGGCAGCTGTGAAGGGGATCAACTGGAGGGGAAGCAAGATAGAAAAGTCAGATAAAAAACTGTAATTGTTTGAGGGAGAGACCATGAGGGCTTGGATGATGGAGATTCCATTGGAGATAGAGAAAAGATAATGAACTGAAGAGGTAGTGAAATGTATTGATCCCAGTTATTTTGTAGGAGGAAAAAAATGAGAAAACTCCCAGTTTCCTGATTTGGGCGACTGGGTGTATAGTGGTGACATAAAGTTAGGAAATACATGAGGAAGAAGAGCAGATTAGATAAAGGTGATGAGGTCATTGATGGACACTTGGAATCTGAGGAGCCTGTGGGACATACAGGTGGATTTTGGAGAAAGCTGGAATGTTGGTGCTTGGAAGGTTGGAATGCAGTGTTGATAAGTGAGTGGGAAGTAAAGAAGTAGGGTTTGTTGATACAAGGAAGGAGAGATAAAGTTGTACCTGGAGAGGAAGGCTGAGGAGGCTTGAAGAGAGCAGTATGGCTTAATATGGCAAATTCAAGGAGTAGGAAAAAAGGTACCTAGAACAGGTAAATAGATTGCTGAAGAGCACTAAGAGTGCTCCAATGAGACTGAATACATGGCTTCAGATAGGCACTCTGAATTATGACACTGTGATTTTTCCCCAGCAGTGTTCTGCAGTGACTGTAGGATTGAGCCAAGGTTATGGGTTAGCAGAGCAGACTGGGGAGAAGGGCAGGGGATTAAAATATTTTAAATGTGGATTTAAAATGTTGCAATCAAATTATTAGAGATTGTTAACAAGTAGTTTACCTTTATCATATCATTTTATTGACAATTTCAGGTGGTTGAATTCTGTACAGAACAAAACCACAATAAAGAAGCCCCAAATCTGCAAAACCAAAGATGCAATCTCCGAAGCACATGGGAAGTGATCCAAGATTCTGAGGACTTTAAGAAAACCACTCCTATGACAACACAGCCACCCAACCCCACCTTCTCATTACTGCAGATTGGACAAAGGATTGTGTGTTTAGTCCTTGATAAGTCTGGAAGCATGGCGGTATGTTCAATGAGCCTTAGTCTTCTGGAAGCTTGTCATTTTTATTTTCTTTTTGGGAGAGATATACATATGATATAATCTGGACCATGACTTGAAACTGGTTGGGAAAAAACACAACCTGAGAGTCAGAACAGTTATAACAATAACATTGCCTTCAGAAACACCCACCTCAACTTTATTCAACAAAGATTCTGAATCAACCGTCTCATTTGCCAAATTAAATTAATTTTCAATTTATGAGCAAAACTCTGATGAATTATATAAACTTAATATTTTTTATGTTTCACTAAAAATATGTAAGACCTATAAAAATATATAGGTCTATAGTCCTACAAAGGACCTATCTAGAACTATTACTAACACATTAAACTTTAATGATTGTATAATCTTTTTATCTTTTTTTTTTTTTTTGGGGTTGGGGTTTTCTTTTTTTTTTTTTTTTTTTGCAATCACACAAGAGGAGGTTTATTTTCTGGCTAGCCAGGGTCCAAGCCCCAGAGCACCAGCGCAGTGGGGGGGTCTCACTTTTGCTCAGGCTGGTCTTGAACTCCTGAGCTCAAGCAATCCTCCCACCTCGGCCTCCCAGAGTACTAGGATTACAGGTGTGAGCCACCGCACCCAGCCCTAGTTTTATCTTTTGATATTTATACAAAGGCCCTAAAATTCAACCCGAAGATGCTGCTAAATATAAGACATTTCCCCCCACAGAAGGCTATGTCTCAAATAAGCTTGTTGTCATTCACTGTACACTGAGGCAGCCACTTCCAAATTGCCTCTAGCCTGTTATTCGTTATCTGTTCTTTGTCCATCCAAACCCAACCTGACTGCTTTTCTTCTGCTTCTCCATTTAGACTGGTGACCGCCTTAATCGACTGAATCAAGCTGGCAAACTTTTCCTGCTGCAGACGGTTGAGCAGGGGTCCTGGGTTGGGATGGTAACATTTGACAGTGCTGCCCATGTACAAAGTGAACTCATACAGATAAATGATGGCACTGACAGAGAGAAGCTCGTCCAAACCTTACCCACAGTGGCTGCAGGAGGAACGTCTATCTGCTCCGGGCTTCGATCAGCATTTACTGTGAGACATGTTCTTCTGTTGTAGTTGACCAGTGTTTGAAATTTATGTTTCCTAAGAAATTTCCGTTTCCAGTGTTTCCATACATGTCTAATGTCTAACTGAATTAGATAACCGAGAGCAGAGCCATGGTCCAAATGATGTAAAGACACAGGCCTCCAAATCTATTAATTAATTCATTCATGTTTTTGTGCTTTTCTGCATCTGTGCATCCACACTTTTCTGCATTCAAAATATTCATGGTGTGTGTTCTACATGCCAGGCACTGTGCTAAACACTAAGAATATCATAAAGGCCAAACAGGCACCACCTCTCCTGTCATGGAGCTTATAGTCTTATTGGAGGAGACACAGTAACCACATAATACACAGACAAGTGTATATTCATAAATTGTTATGAGTGCTGTGAAGGAATGGTACACAAGGATAGAAGAGAGTATCTTCTATGAGAATAAAAAGACCTATGAGTATGGCTAAGCTTTGAGGTAAATGAGCAATCCGACTTCTAGGTGTACTGAACCTCCTTTGGGGAAGGCAAATGGATTATTCACAGAAGCAGGAGGACTTAGGAATTGTAACTATGAGTGTATTGGAGTCATACCTAAAGATCTTATCTGACCATCCAATCACATCACCCCTTTACTTAGATATCATGTCTCCCCATTTTCAACAAATGGGGAGGAAGTAAAAATTCCTCTATCTAATATTTAAGATCTATCATGATACAGCCCCTACCTACCATTCCAGGCTTAAGCACCAAGGACTCTCTTCCAGGTATCTTGTATTTAAGCAAATTGTATCACCTGTCCTTCTGAGTTTCCGTACCTTCGCCAGACTAGTTCCTAACAGAGAGCACTTTCTCCTCCCTTCTTTGCACCTCAGATCACACTCATTCTTCAAAGACTCATCACAGACACCACCTACTTCTTGACATCTTTCCTGATCCTTTTGACTATATAAAATCTCTTTCCAAAACTTATGACCCTTTAGAAACAAAACTATCTCTTATGACTTCTAGGCTCTTCTGTCTTAGATTCTAATCATGTGTTTCAATTGACCAAATTTTTTTTTGGGATAGGACTTGTCTTTATACCTCCCAGGCTGCTAGAACAATATCATTCATATAGGAGGTTCTTAGTAAATAAAATTGAATCAAGAATTTGATTGCACTAGTAACACCTAATGTTTATTGCTCCAAATATAGAATGCAAAATTCTGTATTTATTTAGAGGCTATTTAGCTGCATTAAACAAAGAATAGGAGATTGAAAGGGGTTGGTTGGCCTAAGATCTCAGAACCTCTCAGTGTCTTGGGCAGGTTTGCCTTCAGCCTGCTTTTTGAGCACAACACACGTCAATGGGGCTGTTCCAGCTTCCCAAGTGGCAGCAGGAACATATAGCTTCCTGCTCACACTCTTTGACATGACATTGGAGACCTATTTCCTTAAACACTGTCTGTCCTTCTAGCCCTTTTATTCCACCTTAAATGTCAGTTTCCTAAAAAATCCTAAAAATGGTTTCTTTTGTGTATAGTCAGCTGCAAAACCCTTCTCCAGACATCTGCATGCATCTGGGTTCTATTGCTTCTGCCACCCACCCAAGCTTTGATTAAAGCAGCAAATGAGGAAGGAAAATTGACAATGAAATCACTGATGTGCTGTACCAAACTCCTGCTATGCAAAACCCTAGGGGAGATGACTAATGCTAGATGATGTGGTGGTGAAGAGAGAACTTCTAGTTTGGCATTTTCCATTCAGATGGGTGAGGGACACAGTTGGAATTTAGAATGGCCCTCCTCCCCAGTGGAGCCTGGGTGTGGGGTAGGAGGAACATGTGTGACTTCAGGGCAATGAGGCAAAGGGCCTTGGATCCTACACTGTCCTCAAGACCCTTGCTGGTCTCTGCTGCAGGACTCAGGTCAGGCCTGACCTGGGCTGTTGCAGTGCTGTCTGCCGTGGCCACAGAGGTTTGGCTTGTTCTCTTGGCTTGGTCTGGGTCCAGTGGTCCTCCCCGCTGGCTCAGCCCCACCCTGACTCTTATTGTTGGAGCAGAGCCCTGAGCGCCCCCACGTCCTCCAGCCAGCCTCCAGCCAGGTCATCGTTCCTTAGCCTCTGTGGCAGGATTACCTGTTCTCTGACCTTCTAACTCTCAACCCAGCTGCCTTCTGTCTCCCCTATGGGATATGTGGGAACTTCTGCCTGTTTTGCACAACACACAGCAGTTATGGGGAGTGAGACAAGGGAATCCAAATTGGGCCTCTCTAGCCCTGTAGCTTTGTCAGACCATGGCCACAACCACAGCTGATAGGCTCCTGGGCTCTGGGCTCCTTGACGCAGCAAGAGCAATGGTCACGGTTGCCCTTCCCATGTCATTAATGACTGCCTGTGTGGCAGCCTCCCTTCAGCTCAAACAGGGAGGGGAGCAGAAGCTTCCTCTGCCCCCAGCTCTCCTTTCAATCTACTTAAGATGCCTTCCCTCTCTGCAATTCTGGTCCAGAGAACTGGCTTGATTGCTTATCTTCTCTGCTTCTGGATCACTCCTTTCACTCTTTTTAGGGGAGGAGTGAACTCTTACTTTCTCTTCTTAAATAGATAACACTGTTCTTTTATCTAATTTCCCTTCCATCATAATCTTACTCAACATTGGCCAAAGGAGTATCCTCACTACACCATGTAAAACATATATATAAACTGAGTTTACCAGGACTAGTTGAGACATAGGTGTCACAGGACAACTAGGAAGTGGGGATTAATAGGAACAAAATGGTTCACTTTAATCAGAAGGGTTACTAAACATTTTAACAATGCATGTGACCTGGGTAATGGCTGATTAGAACCAATGCCAGCCATGAACAGCTGGTAAATATCATACAAGCTAAAATCTGCCCTGGGTCTAATATCTCCCAGATGCAATCCCCATTAAGTAAGGATGGTTTCTGAAAGCATCTTGGAACCTCTGAAAGCCTGTCAAGGAGGGATCATGTAAAGGAAACTGGAAAAACCTTCTTTGCAGCTTCCCCAGTGCTGTCTATACCTGGAGCTATGCTGCAAGCTACAACATCCCTCTCTGGAGCAGGCTAGCCAAGGGAAAAGATGATTGTCAAGTGTCATGGATGTTGCTGGGTTAAGATTGTATCATTTCAAGACAGATATTTAACTATTCCCAGAATTTATTCCCTCTAGAATTTCTCTTCTCCTTCCCTGTAAGTGGTTTTCACACAAACACCTTGGCCACACTGAGTCTGATAATTCATGCTCTGAATTATGTCCTTAGGTGATTAGGAAGAAATACTCAACAGATGGATCTGAAATTGTGCTGCTGACTGATGGGGAGGACAACACCATAAGCGGGTGCTTTAACGAGGTGAAACAAAGTGGAGCCATTATCCACACAGTCGCCCTTGGGCCCTCTGCGGCTAAAGAGCTAGAGGAGCTGTCCAAAATGACAGGTGAGGGATGGCCTGCTGAGACCCAGTGTACTGCTTCTCCCAGTGAACCTAGGAGTGGGGGAAAGGTGGGATGGGGAGAGATGGGGGAAAGGTGGGATGGGGAGAGATGGGGGAAAGGTGGGATGGGGAGAGATGGGGGTAATCTTATTAGCCAACTAGCTGCTCTTACTCTCAAATGGCCGTTAGAACTGACTCCACCCATTTGTTTTAAGGCTTTGGAGCTAGTACCAGGCCAGTCTGGAGAAGATGGAACTAGTACAGTACCTTAGTGAGGACTTCAGGTCCTCTTCACAGGCACCCTATAAGGACTATTCAACTAATAAATTAACCAGAAACCACTCATTTCTACTTGGCAGCTGGCCAAGAGATCCAGGGGTGACAGATAAGCCACTAAGTATGTAATATCATGATACAAATGCTATATTAGTAATAGAAAGGACAACGAGGCACAAAGAAGGATGACTTTAACTTTACCTGGGGAAGAAGCACCCAAGAAGGAGGGAAGGAGTAGCATGGCGGGCAAAGGGCCTGGTGAACAATGAAGAAGATCATTCCAAAAATGGAATACAATACCATTTCTCCATAAAACATTAAGGTATTGTAGGTTTATTTCCTATACACAGACAGATGGTTAAAGTAGATCCCATATTTCCCTGGCTTCTTTAGCAGAGTGGATGACCACACTTTTTTCTTTTTCTTTTTTTTTTTTTACTTAGTGGCAATGTTATGAGTATCAATTATTTATACTCAGTTGCTTTCTGATGCAACTACAAATACAGGACTGTTTGACCCTAATACTACCTGCTGGGTTTCCTAGAAGCAGAGCCTGAGACAGGAATTTGGATGCCTGTGATTGATGGAGGGTGAGCTCTCAAGAGAAAAGGAAGGAGGCAAAAACAGGGGAAGGGAAGGAGCTAAGCACACATGTGGACCTAGTAAGACTCTAGCTGAGTCCAGAAGGGGACTCTGGAGTGGGATATGCATCACAGACTTGGTCCCACCTTGAAGCAGGAGGGCTGGTCTTTTGTACCATCGATCATTGGCTCTGGACTGTCAGGACAAGGCAGAGGTGAGGGGCATGTTATTTCTCTAGGTAGGGTGGCCCTTTTTGGTAAGATCATTCTCTAGAAAAGGAGACAGCTAGAAGCCATTAGCAGCCAATACTTAGAGCAGCTGGGGAGAGATGTACTTGCCTAGATAAGGGGCTGTGGATGGGGCATTGACTACGTTACTGAAATCTTTCCTTAATTTTGGATGGCATTTTAATAGTTTAAAAGTGCTTTCACATCAACTATCTTAGTTACACCTATTCTAATAGCCCAAGACTGCCATGCCTGGCGTATAACCTTATTGTTACTACATATTATACCATGCCATAACTGTCCCTTTGTTCATTGTTATTTCTTGCTGTTTTCACGTATGCATCTTTCCTGATTTGGAAGAAAACTCTAAAGCCAAGTTTATTAGAATTATGTTTCAAATAACAGTAAATCAATAGACTTGGCATAAGGCTTAATAGACTCTCTCATATAAAACTGCATGACTTTTAAAATGTAGATTTTATGGTATCAGTTATGTCTTGTCAGAGATTCATGGCTGCTTTGCAGATAGTTGAAGTAGCCAGATGACTGAGATGTTACTGAAACTATTATTTACTAGGATTAGAAAATCAGCATCAACTTCTGAGTTAATCTGGGCACCTATTTGATGTTGATCTATTTATGCTTTAATAACTCAATGGGACTACATGGGGCTCACATCTGTAATCCTAGCACTTTGGGAGGCTGAGGCAGGAGGATCCCTTGAGGCTAGGAGTTCAAGGTTGCTGTGAGCTATGATTGTGCTACTGTACTCCAGTCTGGGTGACAGAGGGAGACCTTGTCTCTAAAATATTAATAATAATAATAATAAAATAGAATATTTATTTTGTATATTCTCCTATTTTAACAACAGCTAAAATGTTGCAAATACTTGCTTTCTAGGAAATAATTTCTGATAATGTAATTGCATTTTAGGAGGTTTACAGACATATGCTTCAGATCAAGTTCAGAACAATGGTCTCATTGATGCTTTCGGGGCCCTTGCATCAGGAAATGGAGCTCCCTCTCAGCGCTCCATCCAGGTTGGAGTTCTTACTCTTTGGGTTTTCATGTTTATACATAATCATAGCCAAGATGGAGACTCTAATGGTTAAAAATGTTGAGTTTTACATTTTTCTAGTAGTGAATTAAAATAGAAGGTTCAGCTTGATATTAGACATTATCTGAAATGCAACACTACTCATTTAAACAAGGCAATTAGTGTTTGCATGTTTGGAAACAATACTGAGTGGTTTCCTTATAGAAGCCAGCAACATAAATGATAATGGGTCCAAGAATTCTTTTTCAGCATCTGTTAAGAAGCACCCATAGCAACATAATTGGCTCAGAATTTTCTTCAGAATAGATCATCTCAATTATAAATTTTCTGGAACAAGTGTTCTGGGATTACTTGCTCTATTTTTCCATTATCTCAAATCCCTGATATTTGCCAAGATTTTCAAATAATGGATAAGAAGTGCTTTATACTGTGGAAAGCTGGTGGTGTCAGTCCAGACCCCTCGACCTTGGTCCTGAGTCTGCCATTAACTCTGTGACCATGGGCAAAAAAAACTTCACCTCTTAGTTTCCCCATCAGGTATGAACCAGAAAACTTCCATGGGCCCATTTGAAGAAAACCAAATTGCCTTTCAACTGGGACTATTGAAAAATAAAAAAGGACAAATGTATTTTTAAATGCTCTTTTCTAGTAGTTGCAAAAATTACATGAAATTTTAAACTAGAATAAATAATCAGCATTCACACCAGTGTGAATTATAACTTTTATTATGACAGTTTGGATAAAGGTAAAATAATACTGTAAATGTCAAAACCCTAACAATGACAGACTTCAAAAAAATAGCTTTATGGTCTACTGGCGTAGCATTTATTCAATCAGAGAAAACAGCAGTTCTATCCATCTGGGTTATCCTAGTTCAGATTTAGAAAACTAAACTCAAGGACCTGGCTTGGAAAAGAGAGGAATGTGTCTTAGAAAAGTAATTAAACTGGTAAAAGAACAAGTTCACAGTCAGGCAATTTCTGCTCATTATTTTTATATTTAAGAACCTATATTTATATTTAAGAACCTAACAGGGAGAGAGATGGAGAAATGAACAGGACTCGTTTACTAACCTGCCACAAGAACCAGATCTAATAGCCCTTCGCTTTCTCCGCACCCAAGATTATAATCTACCTGTGAAACTAGAAAATCTGGCTCCATGATCAGGCCACTCTATCTTCTAATAGGTGCCAATTTAGAGACAATAACTATCTAAGAGATAATCCTCAAACTCACGTTTTTTCACAAAAGCCTTGTTAATCCTTCCCCACCTCAGTCCCTGCTTAACAGCTCCTTTTTTCTACTCCAGACAACACACCAGCCTTATTATTGGCTTATTTCATTTATCTACACAGGGATTGCAATAATACTTGACCTAGCAATTAGGTCATTCAAACCACTCACATGTGGGTGAAAACTAAATCACAGTCAGTCCCTTTAAGGGTGTATAGTCTGGTAAATGAGATAAGCTGTGTACACCAGTAAGCGTAAGGTGAAGCACAATGTGGTGAACATCAAAGGGCTGACAGAAATGAAATCCTACAGGAGTTTACAAGAGGGAGAGATTATTTACAACTGATGAGGGAGATGATCTTCAGAGAAAGCTTTATGGAGAAATCGATATTTGAACTGAATTTTGAAGGATGAGTAGGGCTTAGACAAATGGAGAAGACTTATTAATAGAAAGCTTAGATAAACAGGGGAAATAAATGTAAAGACTTCCAGGAAAAGCAGAGAATTATAAAGTCATGAAGTCAGGAATTCAGCAGGATAGTTTGGGGAAGTGGTCTTATTTGGGTGGAGGAAGGGAAATTGTGGAAGCCAAGGCTAGAAAGGTAATTTGGAACTGGACCATAATGGGTCCTAAACACCAAATCAAGGACGCAGGCATCACAGTAAACTTCTTAATGGGGCACTTGAGAGTCAGGGGCAGAATGGAAAAGACCATGTGCTGGGAGCTGTGTTCTCCAGAAAGTAAAGAGTTGTTTTTTCTTAACAGCTTGAGAGTAAGGGATCAACCCTTAAGAACAGTCAGTGGATGAACGGCACAGTGATTGTGGACAGCACAGTGGGAAACGACACTTTGTTTCTTGTCACCTGGACAACACAATCACCCCAAATCCTTCTCTTAGATCCCAGTGGAAAGAAACAAGATGGCTTTTTAGTGGATACAAAAACCAAAATGTCCTACCTCCAAATCCCAGGCACTGCCAAGGTATGAAGTCAGCTTTTTTCCTTCTCACAATTTGTTAATAAATAAAGTTTTTACAGAGTAATTGTAGCTTTTAAAATGTTGGTAGTTGCTAAAAGGAGAATCAAAGAGAGAACAAGGAAAAATCTCCATCCAATCAAAACCACTCAGTAGGCCAGCAAGTCCAGAGGAAGGAAATAGGTGATACTTTGTCCAGGTACTAAAGGGAGAACCTTCAAACTGCATCACAGTCAAGATGCAAAATGATCCTTGAAGCTTCAGAATCATGAAAACTATTTCTTCTACCTCAGGAATCCATCTCTTGAAAAATCAAGGCTTTTTAGAGAGAATATGTCTGCTTACTGTGATGTAAGTAACCTTATTAGAATGAATTGTGTAAATGACTTACCTAAATCTACCCTGAGGAGAAGTCATACGTTTTATTAAATAATCATATAATATTTTTTTCTTTATAGTCACATACAACAGTTCAATTCAGTTCAATAGATACATATTGAGTAGTTACCCTGTACTATGTTGGGTGTAACAGAGATCCAATATGATCTCAGATTTCAAAAAGAAAGACAATAATTCCAGAAGACAAGATATACACATAAAACTATACACATACACAGACACATATACATACATACATAGTGGTAAAAGAAGTAGGCCTCATGCTTAACATATTCAAATGTTAAAATTTCTTGAAGATAAGGACACAGCTTTCAGAAATCATTTTCCCCCTGAGTAGGATTTTCTTGACAACAGGAACCTTATAGTTAGTCCAAACACACTGCAGGTCTCCTTGGCTGACAGAGTATCAAAAATGCCAAATCTTCTTATATATGCTTGCAACACACTTGTATCAGATAAGCTTTTCCTATATGTGCCATTGAAGTCAGGTGTGTGTCACCTAATATTATTAATTGGAAATGTCTCCACTTCTTTTGATCAGGTTGGTACTTGGAAATACAGTCTGCAAGCAAGCTCACAAACCCTGACTCTGACTGTCACCTCCCGTGCATCAAGTGCCACCCTGCCTCCAATTACAGTGACCTCCAAAATGAACAAGGACACAGGCAAATTCCCCAGCCCCATGATAGTTTATGCAAATATTCGCCAAGGAACCTCACCAATTCTCAGGGCCAGTGTCACAGCCCTGATAGAATCTGCGGATGGAAATACAGTTACCTTGGAATTACTGGACAATGGAGCAGGTAGTCATCCAAGAAATTGGAACATGTATCTTTCTTTTTCTAAGAAGCAACCAGAGAACAGCAAAAGGGCATGGTCGGGTGAGGGCAGTTAGAAGCAGGGATCCCAACACTGGGCGGCTGGTTGGGAGTATTCTCCATTTCCTCACAACTTGTATATTTCAAAATGTTGGTAAAGAAGGCTTCTGCAAAGCTCAAAATGCATTAGCGGCTCAACCTCAATCAGCACAGAGCCTCTAGGGGATTGTCAGAAGGTATTCCACACCCCTCAAAAAGAGAAGGAGAAAAATTAATAGCTATTTTGTGTTAGGTGGTTATATATACATATATGTACACATATGTGTGTATATATACACAAAGATATACACAAAGACATATATACAAAGATATATATATGTATATATATATCTTTGTTTTTATCTTCACCACACACTTTCAAGATATTATTATCCCTATATTACAGGTGAAGAAACTGAGGCTTTCAGATTTAGAAAGCAGCAGAGATGGATTTGTGTACAATTTTATATGATTTCTATATCTATATAGACTCTATATTAACTTGCCTCTGAAGTGAAAATATGTCCATTATTCTTGTATTTAAGAAGTCTATCAGGAGAGAGGAAAGAGACTCTGCATTTATTTTTAGAAAGAACATGTCTGTGATGCAAATAATCTTATTAGAATGAATTCTATAAATGAATTTCCTACCTAAATCTACCCTGAGAAGTCATAACTTTTATTAAATAATCATATTTTTTTCCTCCTTAGTCACATACAACAATTCAATTCAGTTTAATAGATACATATTGAGTAGTTACCTTATGCTATGTTGGGTGTAACAAAACCCCGACATGATCTCAGATTTCAAAAAGAAAGACAATTCAAGAAGACAAGATGTACACATAAAACTACACACATACACACACACACACACACACACACACACACAGTGGTAAAAGAATAAACAGGCTCATCCTTAACATACTCAAATCTTAAGATCTCCTGAAGATATTGATGGATTTCTCTCTTTGCTTTGAAAATTTTTAACCCATATATGAGTTACAAGTATACAAATGCCCAGTTTTAGGATATTCATTAATTCCTTCATTTCCTTATCAAGGTGCTGATGCTACTAAGCATGATGGTATCTACTCAAGGTATTTTACAGCTTACGATACAAATGGTAGATACAGTGTAAAAGTGTGGGCTCTGGGAGGAATTGGTGCCACCAGACAGACAGTGATACCCCAGCAGAGTGGAGCCTTGTACATACCTGGCTGGATTGAGAATGGTGAGTAACCTGTAATAACACACCTGGCTTGAGTAAAAGGCTTGTGATCAAGAGGAAACCATTAAGCCAGTGGGGCAAAATGGTGCATGATTAAATCAGAGTTTCTCAATCATAGTATTATTAACATTTTAAGCCAGACAATCCTTTGTTGTAGATGACTATCCTCTGCATTTGTGGGATGCTTAGCAGCATCCCTGTCCTCTACCCACTAGATGTCAATAGCAGCCCTCCCAACCCCCGTCATGACAATCAAAAATGTCTCTATACATCATCCACTGTCCCCTGGGTGGGCAAAATAGCTCCCAGTTGAAAACCACTAGATAGAACACAGCTTTTGACTACCTCAGTTCAAAGCCCAGCTCTCTACCAATTAATGTATTTGGGGTAATCTCTTTGTGCTTCATTTTCCTCAATTGTAAAATAAGGATAATAATGGTGACTACCTCATAGGACGGCCATGAGGAATAAACAAGTAACTACATCTAATAAGCTGTTGCTGGTAAATAGTGTGCAGTAAAGTTTTATTATTCTTTTTAAAAAGTTTTTTTAATGAAGATCTTTCCATGGAAGCATTTCTAATTCATTCTAATGAAGACTTTCCACTGAATAAAAAAAAAATAACAATTTGGGGCTTGTTATCTACATCATTATCACTGTTATAAGTCCATTGTCTTTCTTTCCTCTTGTCTCCTCCTGCTCAGACCAGGGAGAATAGTAGATGAACCTATTCTGGTCAGTACACTGAGCCCACATCCTTTATTTGGTAGAAAGCTGGGCTTTGAACTGAGGTAATTAAAAGCTGTGTTCTATCTAGTGGTTTTCAACTGCAAACAGGTGGGAACATTATATCTATGAAACAGTCCCACGCCACTCTTGGTTACAAATACTTGCCCTGGACTACAGCAGGAATTGAGACCAAGTCTGAATCCTGATGGGGGCCAGCGTTTGTTTTCTATCAATGTCCACTCTGTTCTGGGCAGGACTTTTCCTGATGTTGGTGTGTAGTAAGGAGAGGAGCTCCTTTAAGAAGCTTCCTAACATCTTCTTTAGTTGAGTGTGTGCTTAGTGAAGGGAGGATTCTGAGACATATGCTGTCCTCTCATGCAAAGGTGACCACAGGGAAAAAAATGCTTTAAGAGACACTATTGGCAGGGGCGGTGGCTCACGCCTGCAATCCTAGCACTCTGGGAGGCCAAGGCAGGAGGGTCGCTCAAGGTCAGGAGTTTGAAACCAGCCTGAGCAAGAGTGAGACCCCATCTCTACTTAAAAAATAGAAACAAACCTAATTGGCCAACTAAAAATATACAGAAAAAAATTAGCCGGGCATGGTGGCGCACGCCTGTAGTCCCAGCTACTGGGGAAGCTGAGGCAGAAGGATTGCTTGAGTCCAGGAGTTTGGGGTTGCTGCGAGCTAGGCTGATGCCATGGCACTCTAGCCTGGGCAACAGAGTGAGACTCTGTCTAAAAAAAAAAAAAAGAGAGAGCAAGCGAGAGAGAGAGAGAGAGAGAGAGAGAGAGAGACTATTATTGCTTTTTGAGTTAGAGGAAGAAGGCAGGAGGGGATTGGTTTAGTAGCTATGTGTACCTTTATCACAATGCTTTACTTACAGTAGTACACTTCATTCTCCTAAATATCCCTTTTTACAGATGGGGAAACAGAGGCTATAGAGGTTATTGGTCCATATAACTAATAGTGATAGTGCCTAGCCTAGCACTAAAAAACCATGTTCTTCTCTCTATCACTTGATGAGCCATAATACCAAGAGAGGCGGTCTCTGTTGGGGAATTCAATACTAACCCTGAACCTTCCAAAGCACTTATGTCATCCTTGCCCAAGACCAGATTAATGGCTATGAAGATTAATCTGTCTTTACAGATAAAAATTTTGTGGGTTACAGATGTAGAGTTTATGAGAAAGCAAATTCTAAGTAATGCCAAGTTAGATTATTATGGGATGAATATTTTTATTAAAAAGAGAGCTGAGAACCCAACAGATTGAGCAAGCCAGAGTATTTTTTGAATTCCAGGATTACTTTCCTACAAGCTTTCAATAAGAACATGAAGGAAATTGAGATTGCTACAAGAACTAGGTTGTCATGCTTATATTGAGAAAATCAGGAGTTTTTCAAAAGCATAAAATTTTGGAACCCCCAACATAAAACAATTTCATGAAAAATTGCAATCTAATTTTAAGAAACACCAATAAGGAGAAAGTGAAAGAAATATGCATAGAATAACAATTGAGGCAATCCTTGAAAGTCCAGATGATTAATTACCAAATACATAGGAAAGATGTATTTGGTAAAATGAAACACCTGGTATAGCAAAGATTTCTTAAGGCAGTCTGAGTTGAAAACAGAGGTAGTATTTAAATGGACCTTATGGAATGTTAAGATCAGCATAGGCAAAAAGATGGGAAAAGAAACAATTTCAGAACAAATGTTAGGAAAATAAATTCCAAAAGGTTATTCCACTAAATATCCAGGAATTATCTGTGAGATAAAGAACCGTGATTCTCTCTTAGCTTTTTTTCCCTCTGATGCAAACTGATTTGGTGTCCTGTCACCAAATATTTAAAATGAATTTTGTGTGTGGGAGGAAAGAAGGAGGAGGGGAGAGTAGGAAGAAGGTTATTCGACAGGAAAACAGAGGGAGGAAGTAACTTTTGGTGATGTTGCTTACCATATCTTGAGTAATTGTTTAATGCAGGTGAAATAAAATGGAATCCACCAAGACCTGAAATTACTAACAATAATCCTAAAGACAAACAAGTATGTTTTAGCAGAACAACCTCGGGAGGTTCATTTGTGGCCTCTGATATCCCAAAGGCCCCCATACCTGATCTCTTCCCACCTTGCCAAATCACCGACCTGAAGGCGAAAATCCTGGGGAGCAATCTCATTAACCTGGCTTGGACAGCTCCTGGGGATGACTATGATCATGGGACAGGTAAGCTGACTGTGGTGTGGACGCTGTAAAGGAGTTTACCAGCCAAGCAGAGGAGCAGAAGAGGGTGAGGCAGGCAGGCGTGTTACGATGTGTGAGGGGGCAGCTAAGTGAGAGAGGCTTAAAATCTGAAAAACGGCCTGCTTTGGGAGTGAGAGATTTCAGTCAGGAAAGGTAAACTTTACTTTTTTCTGAAATCTTGCCAAACTGTCCTTTAATAAACCTAATTTTCAGTAATGACTCCTGGGAAGAACAGGCACTAGAGCATAGATACCTAGGGAACAGAGCTGTACCTTGGAAGAAACCTCAAAGTGCTTTCTCTCTCAAAGTGTGGCCTGTGGGCTGCTGCATGGGCATCTCTTGAACCCCTGTTAGGAATACAGAGCCGTGGGCCCCACCCCAGACCTACTGAACCCGAGTCTGCATTTTAAGATCCCTGGGTGATTTGTATCCACATTATCCTTTGAGAAGTACTACTACAAAAATCCCTCTCTAAAGAATAAAATAATATACAGTAATTAAACAATTTTTCCCCTTAGCCAGGTGCTATGGCCAGAAATACTGACCAAGGCTTTAAGTCATTCCCGATCCAGTTTTATATTTATCACTTTGTCAGGATATGCAAACAAGAATGAAAAAGATACTAATCCCTTATAAATATGGACCGTTGATTTCATTTATTCAGGGATTTTATGGGATGGTGATATAGTTTCTAGTAGATGTTTTAAGATTAAGGGTTTTTTTTAGCTCTTTAAGATTTGAGAATTACAAGTCACTTCCTCTTTTTCTTTTTTTAGCTCAAAAGTATATCATTCGAATAAGTACAAGTATTCTTGATCTCAGAGACAATTTCAATGATTCTCTTCAAGTGAATACTGATGATCTCATCCCTAAGGAGGCCAACTCTGAGGAAGTCTTTGTGTTTGAACCAGAAAACATCACTTTTGAAAATGGCACAGATCTCTTCATTGCTATTCAGGCTGTTGATAAGGTTGATCTGAAATCAGAAATATCCAACATTGCACAAGTGTCTTTGTTTATTCCTCCAGAGCCTTCTCCAGAGACACCTCGTCCTGATGACACTTCCGTTCCTTGTCCTAATATTAATATCAACAGCACCATTCCTGGAATTCACATTTTAAAAGTTATGTGGAAATGGCTAGGAGAACTGCAGGTGTCAGTAGGCTTGGGCTGAGTTTTCATGAGATAAATAAAACAAACCATATGTCCTTCTTTGGATCATAAAATTTTCTAAAATGTATTTCATATTTCCTGAAGGGGGCAGTATAATGAAATAAAATGCTAAACAACTGGGTTGTTCAATCTTTTATTCTGAATGATTTTGAATACTAGAAAGAAGGGGCATTTGTATCAATAAATGGAGGTATGTTTTTATTCATTTCAAGGATCTTTTCCAGTTAAAAAGGTCTTGCAATTGTAACAAATCTAATAGAGTTGCTAAAAGCTGTTGGTTTCTTTTGGTCAATGATACTAGAAATGGCCAAACCAAATTATTTAAATATAAAAGGCGTGACTTGTTATGTAGGAGCTTTGGACCAATATGACCAACATCTTCTCTCTATATTTGAGCAAGGAGGATGCATTTAAGGAAGACATTGCATTGTAGAAAAAAATTACAGCGTGATGAAGGGTCCCTGGGCACAGAAATGATGTTATGTGCATGAAATTTCAAGAATCATGATGCTTGAAGCCACACTGGTGGGGAATGAGGTGGGAATGGTAGCTTCAAGCCAGGAGTGAAGGAAAAGTGATTGAGAAATAAACATTTATTGTGTACTTTGTACCAAGTGCTCTAATTATTTGATGTAATTCAGTTCATTCAACAAATGTTAATCAGCTGCCTACTATATTCCAGGCCTCTGCCAGGTCCTAAGGATACAAAGATAAATAAGACTTGTTGGTCTTTTTCCTGTAGGCACTAAAGAGTATTTGAGCATTAAGTTTTGAAATCAGGAAGCCAATATGATCAGAGCTATTCTTGAGAAGGGGGGATTTGAGGATCACATGAAGGGTTGATTTAGGGTAAGAGAGGCTAGCAGCATGATAAACAAAAGGGGAAGGAGAAGAAAAGGAAAAAGGGACGTAAATATAGACCTAGCAGTATGGTAGTCCCCATCAAGGACTAATCACAGAGTCCAGTGCTTCCAAGTGTAGATATTATTGTAAAAAGTGTTTCAAGTTCTCAGTTCATTAGCATAATTAGTTCAAGACATGGGTGGGTCTCTTTATGATTGAAAACAAAATATATAGGATTTTGTTTCCATGTATACCCAAAATTTATCTCTTTATTTATAAGACCTTCCTTATTCCAAAACACGATTTGAGGCATCTCAGAGACACATACAATAAATATACTAAAAAATAAATGGAATGAAGTAAATATATAATAAAAACCAAGGGAAGGATCAGCACATCCAATGCATACTATAATTTTCTATACAATTGCTACAGCTAGGTCACACATTTCATTTTGTGACAGGTAGTTAAGACAAAGGTGACATATACAGTAACAAGATAACAGTCTTCAGTTTAAAGCAAATCAGAGGCTCAGGAGAAGCATGGCTTTTCCTAGTCCTGAGAACCACCAGAAGTTTCATCTATGGATACTCAATAAATTAGGGTGCTGTGATGGTAAGGGTGCAGACTTAGCAACATCTATATAATAAACAGCAAGTTTAATACAGTGCTAATCACAACAGCCTTCACTTCAAGCCAATGGAATAACACCACAACATTGTTTAGGAAAGGCAATTATGTAGGGACCCAAATGATGCAGACCCACCAAGTAGCTCTTGACCTTGCCTCAAAAATAAAACTTGGAGTGAATGGATTGCATGTCCTTCAGGCAGCTTTCTGTGACTAGTGTTTTTTACAAATATAATAATAGAACAGTAAGTTCTATTGGAACCAGTAAGTTCCAAGGCTAGAAGACACTGATGTACAAAAAGTCAGTATTGTTTGTTGAGGACATATCCGGGTGTTTTGCCAACTAAATGGGCAGAAGGTCAGTTTGGAGTTCTCTTCTGAAAGTTACAAAACCAAACCAGGGCACATATCTGAGGAGAAGGCCACTCACCTGCTCCAAGTGGACAAATAAGTCTGAGGTCCTAACTCAACTCCATAGAACATTGGCTGCCATAGGTTTAGCCTTGAAAATTTTGAACGTCACTCATTGAAATTTTAATTTCCCGTTTGGGTGAACTCAGAAGAATGTACCATGAGATACAGTAGCAAACTGCATAGGGGGGTATGATGTGACTTCAGAGGAGAAAAGAGGTAAATGGAGAAAAGAGGAGAAAAGAGGTCAACAAGTAGATAAGACAAAAAGTAGAGAACAGTAAAAAAAGAAATCCTATGCCCTCTGGTTATAAGGCAGTTTTTTGCAAAATGGATCTGAATTGTCATAAATAATAAGCCAAAATTTTACTTTATGCCATCATTGCCCCACAATGACCTTAGTTTTTTTAGTTTCTGATAGGCCAATTAAGTGAGTGGGTAAATCTAGTAAATCTATTCTAGACATTGGTACTTCTCCCAATACCTGAATAACAAGTACCAAGAAAGGATACTGAGCTCCCCTTTGCAACTTCCAAACAAAAAAAAAAAAAAAATGATCTAATGTTGTTGTTTTTTAAAGGCCTCCAACCTATGCCATTGATCTATGCCTTCCTTCAACCCTTCTCTTCGCTGTCATCTACCATCCTCACCCAAGATAGGCACCTGAGTCACAACACTCTTCCCCCTCATTTCCTAAAATTGTCCTGAGTGGTATCAGAATCTATATGAATGAGTCAATCAATATCTTAACCTCAAAATTTCTTGATTTTTACCCCACCTCCACTAAACTTGAGCAAACTATTGGATTGGATCTTGAAAGTGTTTTTTTATAAGTAAAAAATGGGCATATTGGCAATTCCATATGGTTTGACTTAATACTTCTAAGAGCACAATTTGGACCTAGTAATGACCTGGAACAGATTAACATGAGAAATCTTAAAATCCAGTATCTTATTTTGGCCACGACCTCCTAACCCTCTGAGTTGCTCACATCCTACCCCAACAAACTGTCTTTGTAATTTCATGATGACTATAAATATCACAGTTTCTTTATCCATTCTTGCTCTGTTGAGTGTCTGTTGATAGACACTTAAGTTGATTCTATAACTTGGCTATTGCAAATAATGATGCAATGACCACAGGAGTGTAGATATCTCTTCAACATACTGATTTCAAATCCTCTGGATATATACCTGGGAGTGGGATTGCTAGATCATATGGTAAGGCTAGTTTTAATTTTTTAAGGAACCTCCATAGTGTTTTCTATAATGGCTATACTAATTTACATTTCCACTAACAGTGTGTTAGCGTTCCCTTTTTTCTATATCCTTGCCAAAACATTCAATATTTCATCTTTTAGATAATAGTCATTCTGACAGGTAGGAGGTGATATCTCATTGTGGTTTTAACTTGCATTTCCCTAATGATTAGTGATGTTGAAATCTTTTTCATATGCCTCTTGGCCATTTGTATGTCTTCTTTTGAGAAATACCTACTCAGGCCCATTGCCTATATTTTAATTTGTTTTGTTTTCTTGGTATTGAATTGTTTGACTTCCTTATATTGAGTTCCTTATATATTAACTCCTTATCAGATATATGGCTTACAAATATTTTCTCTCATTCCGTAGGTTGCCTCTTCACTCTGTTAATTGTTTCCTTTATAGGAGACTTTTAGTTTTACGTAATCCATTTGTCTATTCTTGGTTGTGTTGCCTGAGCTGTTGGAGTCAAATCCAAAAATTCATTGCCCAGACCAATATCATAAAGTTTTCCCCTTATATGTTTTCTATGTTTCTGGTCTTATCTTTAAGCCTTTAATCTATTTTGGATTGATTTTTTTGTATATGGCATGAGATAAGGATCCAATTTCATTTTTCTGCACATGGACATAGAGATCTAATTCTTTTCATTCACTTGATAATAATCTGGTGATATCAACAGCAACAAAAGAATAAGGGTGTAGGAGGGGGAGAGAGAGACAGAGACAAAGAGAGAGAGAGATAATATAAGCACTATAATTTTTAAATTGTACTTAAGAAAAAACTACCTGATATGTGGCCTCAGTGGATTTTAATTGGAATAATTCTACATGGTTTTAGACTTTTAAAAAATGCCAAAATCTTTCCAAAATTTTTTTGTTGGAGTGATTCATTAAAACAAGGAAAGAGAAAACAAATCAACAAAACACTGTTCAAGGAGTCTTACAGTAAAATTTCACACAGTTGATCAAATTTAGCAATCCAGGTAAGAATTAAATATTGAGGACATAAAAGCCATTGAATTAGAAAGACCAAGTGATGCATAGTTATTGTAATTGAGAAAAACTATTTAACCTAGTTCCTGAAACCTAAATGTCAAAAGAGAAACATGTCAAATTGTTCTTTCTAATCTATTTTAACTGTCACTAGAGAGAAATCTTTTCCTAAATTCTAAAAGCAATTCAGAATTCATAAGGAGTCAGGGGACTAAAAAAAGCGATGAGCTGTAGAATGGACAGCACAATTCAAACTCTAGAGGGCATACTATTTATACTGAGTTCATGCATGATTCTGGCAGGCAAAAGAATGCAGCTACTTCTACTGTTAGGGTGTGGCAGTGGGACCGAGGACAGCACTCTAAGGATCTGGGCAACTAGTCCATTTAGAACAAGGACTCGGTATCTGAGAGTTGGAACACAGAGTACTAACACTACCACCATCTGGATGGAAGGAGATGTTGGGGAGGCAGAAGTGAGCAGTTTCAGGGCCTTAGCCAAGAAGAGAATGGTGTGACGTTATCATCATCATCATTCATTATTTTATCTGATAATGATAACAGCCACAGTTTACTGTTTGTTTTTGTTTGTTTGTTTTTATTTACAAAGTGACAGGCATTAAGTGCTTCACATACTCACATCCAGGCTCTCCACTAATATTAGAGGGTCTTGAGCCAAGGGTACAAATGTAGATTCAGAAACCATGTGTCTAAGTATGCAAACATTATAAACCAAGCTAACAAGCTGTGAAAATGAATTTATATCCTGTCTTGACAAATATACCGTAATCATGAGTCCAGATTCAAATTTAAGATTCTTGGAAACCTCTCAGTGTCATGTCAGAACACAGCAGCTGAGGGACAGATGGACCATGGTGCACCCTCTTTTCTTCCTACCCTCCT